GTAAGCACCTCCCATGAAGCTACTACAGTACGTACGTACAAGCTAACTCCACCGTATAGGTCCCAAAAGCCCTACGGATCTACGGTGTACGTACTGTTGGCCACGCTGGTCATCGATTGATCATTCCGAAATATTGCCAGACACGCAAGTCACATCAAGGAAGACAGGGCGATTAAACACATATTGTGGATCCGTGGTTCATAGCATAACTGGCCATGAAAGAGTTCGTGTAGCGTAGCCACAGGCTTGGGGCCATTCAGAAGCCACTTCTAGATAGTGTAATCGCAATCGGAAGGGAGAACGTATTTGAGTACATGGACGAGTGGTTTTCTCTGCGGCAGTGAGCCTGCGGCAGCTGCCCAGTCAGACTCCTTCGCTCTGTTTAAAGTATGCATCAAGATTCAAAGTATCCCAATCCCAGATTTGCTCCATTCCCCCGATATCGAGTTGATTTGAGTTCTCGAAAGGATTTTGCAGAAGGAATTGATCCAGGTCAAAGGAGAGATCATCTGTTGTTGAAATTTCAGGAATACCGTCCATCATGGTGTTCACTGGTTTCAAAATCGTTTGGGCGGGGGGATCGCTTGGTGGTGTTAGTTGAGTTTCGGGTGTTTTACTACAATTTGTCTTTTGGCGCTTTTGAGATCGACTACTTCTTAAAAGAAGTGGGGTTGCTTGTACCAAGTTGAAGAGGAACTTGTACGAAGAAGCCCCAATCCTACTGGTGGGACTCAGTTGATGCAGCATTTCGAGTGAAGTTTCGACCGCACCCATAACCTCTTCGCGATGGGGAAACCGATCGCTGGTGTCATGAATGATTGCGGAGCAGAGAATTGTCGCAGTGTCAAAAACACAGAAAATGACTAGATGAAACCTGGAGTTGATAGGAAACTCGTGATCGAATAGTAGGCGAGCTGCTTTTAATAGCTTGAGACTAAGATCAATTCCCCTGTCGCGAAATTTGATGTCGTACGAGGAAGCCTTCTGATCTGGGCTCCTCGTAAGATAAGGTTTCAGGGGGTCAACCATTGTCATCCAAATGACCACATGCAGTTGACGTCGTTGTAGAACATAGTACGGATGTTCCTCATCGAGAGATGTATCAGGGTTATCTATTCGGAAGACTGGAGGAAGTTCATCGATGAACGTCTCGCACTCGGCCAATACTGCAAGGACATCTTTCGTAGATAAGTCCACAATATTGAGAACATTACCCATCTGCTTGGCCACTCTTCGGGCGAGGTGAGCTTGTAGAGCGATGTGAGCGAATGGCGAAAGCAGGTTTGGCTGCGACTTTGACTCTTCGAGCCTCAGGTTTGGGAAGACGAAGGTGGTGTCCTTCTGATCGATGAGGTGCGGTCGCCCTAGCCAGGCTGACATCTGCCTACACACTGGGTTAGCGACTGGACCCAAATCACCTCGTAGCGCTTACCAGTCCCAAATAAAAAGCAGTGTCCAGAGACGTCGTCGAATCTCTATGTCGAATTCGCTTAGTCCCGCGATACCTACATCTCGGTCAAGTCCTGTACAACTCAGTCAGCATACAAGTCCTTGGCAAAGACAAAAAAAGGACTATACCGAGCTCTTGAGCTTCACGAATGGCGGACCCTAAGCTGTGCCATGATTCGACTATTTGAGAATCAGACTTCAGCCACGCCCCCTTCAGAAACAATTCTTGCACTCGCTCTAAGCTGGTGTTCGATGCGGTGAACGTGCAACTTAATTGCTCTGCAGCGCGGTAGAATCTTTCCGTCAATACCTGTATGTTGCATGCTAGCTCGAATTCGATGGTCTTGCGCAACTCGGAGGTTAGATATTGAACCGAGTACGCACATACCCTCAGGAGAAGACATGTGAATACAGGCGACAACCCACTCCCATTGATGCGATCAAACCACCATTGAACGTACTGATCAGTAAATGTAGGCGCATATATCGAGTTGTACCGCGAATTCACGTGGTTGAGAAAATGGTTAATGATTGCGTCTGCGTTCGTTAGCGTCAAAAAAAAATCTTGATCCAAGCGGGAATACCAGTCAATGTTCTTGTCGGAATAGTATATAAGACTTTTTCAACTTCTTGCGATTGCTGTGGGCGCACCTGGGTCGCTGATGAGGCCGAGTCCTAGAGTTCACAAATGAACACAGTCGAAGTCAAAATGTGACGATTAGCTCACCTCTAGACTAGCACGTCCAAGGGTGAAGTGAACATGACCAGGCATGTAGCCCCACGCTCTTAGACCGTCCTGACCGCCCTCACTAGATACATATCGAAATGGGGGTGACTCTTTATTGGAGTCTGCATTGCTTCTTTTTTGTCCTCTCAACTCCCTAGGCACAGTCAGTCTGGAGAGTGACGGGTGATCTGACTAATAATGGACCTACGGAGGAGATTCTGTTGACGATTCCTTCCAGCCTTTTCGCTGACCAAATTGACACAAATGAGGTACTTTTCTGGCTTGACAATGGTTACAAGGCCACTCTCGAGAGCACTAGGTGTCTCCTCAGCTTTGCAAAGCAGAGGAGGTCTCGAAAAGTTTTACCTTCTGTTTCCGTCGTTGGCACTCGCTGCAAGATGTTGTTGCGCGAATGTCCTTCGATCCTTGCATGTCGTAACCTCTAATAGGAGGTGAGCAAGATATTTCGCGTTGACGGTTGGGAGCTGCTGCTTAGATACCAAGAAGCGAAACCTTTCCCCACCTTCGCGATGAGTCAGCTTCCACATGACTTCATGTGACATCACCTCTTCTCCCCGAGCATAATTGAGTCATCGCTAGGTTTCCAATTCTTAAGTGGAATACCTTTTCTGTCTTTAAATTTGCTCGATCTTCATTTCCTACTGTCTTCAACGTGGTTGCGGCAGCCTGAATCCTCTCTCAGTCACTAAAACCCGAGACATCGCCTGACTCATCTCTTCTACCCTAGGCTTAAAAGCGACATACTCCCTTGCATCATAAACTAGGAATGCTTGCTCTTCATACACTCATGGCTGCTATTAGTCAGGAGTACTATCACTCCCCTCCAAGCAGCCTCGCCTGATGAGTTCAAAGTCGAAGATCACGGCCAGCCCCCCAAATGGCAATGCGGAGATTTCGACGTAGTACAAAAAATGATGGGTCAAGTTGATGTAGATTTAAACTCTCTTTTCAGCAAGCTCTCATCGACTTCTAATCCAAGTTCAAGTTATAGCGCGAAGGGTATCATGTGCCACGACTGTGGGATGCCTTCCCCTGCCAAGAAAGCAGAAAGTGAGAAAGCGCAAGAGAAAGCGCAAATTCCCGATTCATCTCTGTAATATCATGTTTCGTTGGTGACCATGGCGGGAGAATCTGGATTACGGACACTGGAAACGTTGTATAGTGCAAGAACTCATAGATGGGATTTAAGAGAAGACGCCATACCAAAGCGATCCATGTATTGTCTTTTTGAATGAGATTTGCTTACCACAAACCAGAAGCCTCCGAGGAATCTGGCCGGGGAATATTGTGCACGAAAACAAGAGTAAGGTCATATAGCACTAGATTTCGTTTCTAAATGTCTGAATCTCCTTGCTAGGTGCCTAGGATGCCTAGGAAACAGAATGCAAAAATAGGCTCGATCGAAATTTCTGGGCTCAAGTGGGAAAAGAACGTCATCAAGGTTGTTCTTCCATCCCATCCAATTATCTCACACATCGCAAAGCTTGGAGTTTTGCTATAATCCCACTCATCCCTTCCACTTAGATGAAGACAAAGCCAAAAACCGATCCAATCATCAGGCAGAAAACGTACAGCCGCCATAAGACTGGCAAATATACCGAATACTCAATATGTCGGAGAGCAGCATTGAATGAACAGCGTAGGCTGGGGAGATACCAGTTAACCGAAAAAATTGTTGGATAGAACTCCAAAGGCACGCTCTAGTGCTTTGCCTTTTGTCGATTGAGAGTAGTTCAGCCTGAGATAAGAAGTGCAATTGGGCGGGGCTCAGTCCCCATCCCCTTTGCGGAATGGTTGACCTGAAATCTGTCCACTTTTGACCGAAACCAACTAAAAATGAAGGAGCCTCATCATATGCGGGAAACGATGCAAGAGCTGCTATGGACCCATCGCGCCTGGTTTCCTACAAATTGCAACAGCCCATAATCCAGATTTGAGACCCCAGAAGGCTTAAACGAATCGCCCAATTAATTTGGTTGTCACCTCCACCTTCTCCACGCTTACATGGATTTGTAGTCTCCTGCATGCTCCAGGGCCTGATAATATAACTACCCTCTTTGAATACCTCTTCTACTCTTTATCGCCCTCTTAATCTCACACTCTGTTCATTTCTTCTCTATTGATTCAAACCCCCTTCCGACCCTTCAAATCTCCCCAAACTTCCCTCCACACGCCCCTCCAATTCCCTCTCTCATTCTCGTTCCTCACCCTCCTCACAAAACTCCAAGTCCGAACCTCAACAAACCAGACCGTAAACCAATACATCTGCACTAGCGTCACAAATCCCCACCCTAACCACACAAACAACAACACTTTATTTCCCTGTCCAATATGCAAGCCCACTGCATCACCAAGCCCATTCACAATTGATGCAGCTGCCACGATAAGACCCGTCAGAATTACCGCGGCGAGCAAGTGGAATGTTGATGCAAGTGTGGCGTTGAAGAGGAGGATGTAGATGAGGATTCTAGATTCCGTGAAGTATATTGCTGGGAGGGTGACCAAGAACGCGAGACCGGAACCTAGCATTGAGATGATGAGGAAGGCGATGATTGCTTTACGAACCCCCCCTGCAGTTGCTGAGAGAGATGTAAAAGAGGATTGGAGGGAGGCGATTAGGGGGACTGAGACGTTTGTGGTTCCAATTACGATGGAAGAGTGGATTTTGGATGTTAAGTTGTTTAGGCCTACAGACGAATTAGATCTGCAAAAGTTACTCCTTTTACCACAGGAGACGTGATATGGTAGTGAGAGAGATAGGCTTACCAGCAGCCTTATCATCATAGCCTGAGCATTGATCAATCTTAACCTCACTCTCCCCGTCCGTAGAATTTGTGGCATCGCCTTCACAAATGGACTCGAGAAACAAATGGTAGAAATCACGGACGCCGGCAGCATCCACTAGGGCTCCTACGATAGTGTTTAGGCTATCTTCAATTCCTTCGTTTAGAGCGTCCGTAATGTTTCCAGTGATAGGACCAAGTAAGCCCGAGAGAGGATTGTTGGGGTTATCTGGGTTCAAGGGATTTGAGGTAGAGAGTGGATTTAGAAAGTCTAGTGGGTTTGCTGTTGATGAGGCAGTGGAGGTCGGTGGCGTGGATGTGGGTGTTGCTTGCTCAAGGCGTATTATGTCTTGACCGACTTTTGAAGCGTTTATCTGTGCCGAATAAATATCCCTATCTTGATGCTTTCGGAAGGGGGAAACCTACTGAGATGATAAAATCCTCATCGAGATACCCCGGCTTGCTCCCTGCAATCAAAAGCACTAGTGTTAAAGAAAATGATACCACAGCGAACGCGAACGGGAGGATTGCCGATATTCGCAAATTACGCATGACTCCTTAGGGTGTGGTGGTCGAGATGGTAGTGCCCTAAGCGTGGATTTTCTTTAGTCTTCGATAGGTGCCTCCAATTCTGCGAGGAATTTGTCGGCATCGGTGTAGCTACCCATGAAGTATAAGTGTCCTCGGTGCAGTGTAGGACAACGATAGAAGATACGCGCAGTCCGCTAGCCTGATTTTTTTCTCAGGGCCCCACTATGAATGAGCTGTCGACATTAAGTATTCGCACATACGAAGGGCATACGAGTGACGTTATCGATAGGCCGAGAGACGTTGAATTTATGGTTGGCAACTTGGACGATCATGGATTCAGGTGGGGCTGATGGTTTAGGGCAATCGGACCGTCATGTGGGCTGATTATCTCTACTTTTCTTCTTGATTGAATGCACGACGCAGCTTCGGCTAATATGATGAGCAATCCCTGTTCCATATCAATGCAGCTTGTACAGTTGGAAAATATTTGAGATAGAGTTCTTCTGGCATCGCCGATCGGGATGGAAAAAACATAAACTGATGAAGCATTTTCAAGACGACGACCTCACCTGATTCCATCGCTCATCTTCCCTAATACTCAGACTTTGTCGGGAAGGGAACAAGCCAATGGCATTCTTGAAGATCTGCTCTGCTGTCAGCCAAGCCCAACATCATGAAACATCACCAGGAACCCTCGCACGCATGCAACAGAATCAACCTCGGAATCTCAGAACCCTGCGTTTCATACTAGACAGCATAACCTACAAATCACAACTCTATCTCTTAGCTTCTCTACAGCTGGCGGAAATACATCTCGCTCTATTTACCGATTTAGCTCTGGTGCCTCGGCTCTTAACATAAGGTGCATACGTACCCTATTACGACCAAATCACGGACGAACTTCCAGTACATGGCGACTATTTTGCCTTTTGCTGATCCGCGAGCCGTCACTTAAGTAGATCTAATTCGTTTAGACGTATTTGCACAGGATCCCATATGCCCTTCCACCCGCAGCTAATCCACCACAGCACCCACGTTGTCGTCGCCGTATAACCCCTCCAGATCCACGGTCTCTCCTACCCGAGCCATACCATCCACCCTACATCGGCAATTAGACCACTGAAAACTTTCCTAACATGCTCATCCGGATCCGCCTCTTTGCCATGGACGCTCGCCCCCGAGAGTGCATCTTCAAGTTCTGACTGAATGGGGTTACATAGAGTCTGGTGGCAGAACACTCGGCGTTTCTACCATTTGGTTAAGGATATTGGATCCTATGACCCCAGATACAAGCTCGATGACTCGGACCCCGAAAGTCTGTAGCCCATTGCGTAGGTTATAGGTGTACTGCCGGGCTGCTGCTTTTCTCATAGCGCGCAAGCTGGTACCCGGAATGCGAAGTATTCGTGTCTGATTGGTGTGGTTGATGATCGTGTCTCTGGATGCCAGTACAAGGGGTAGAAAGGGTTTTGTGACTTCTACGACAGAGAAGAAGCTCTGATCGTATGTATTTCGCTAATCTTGCATCGAGCAGTCGGAGATCATCCGTAGGTGGAGCCCTACAGCACTTTTGAAGAAAATGTCTAGTTGATCAACTTTTGACCGAAGAGCTTCGATGGAGGTCGGCGAAGTATCCAGCTCTTCAACATGAATGTCCTGTTCAGTAAGCCCCTATAGGTGTATGAGGGAGTGGGGTGTCGCGATGGCATGGAGTCCATGTCGATGAACTCTTTCGCGAGAGCTGAGCTGTTTGTAGTAACGGAGCTCTCCAAGCTCTAGCCACCTATACTCCTTTGACCCACTGCTGCCTAGCTACGCCACCTGCTGCGGCCCAGAGTTATTGCTAGCCTTAAGTCACATGACAGCTTCACCTGGTACTATATAAACCCGTAGTTACCCTCCTTTAGCAATCAATCCAGTTCCTCATGCCTCTGGTGCTCCTCCTTGCTTCACATGAACCCATAGATCCTTCTGAGCATCCTGTGATTAGGACTACCATTTTCGTTAGGGGTCGAGGTAGCGTCATCATGCATTCATTTTTAAATCCAGCAAGTGTTAACTTTTCGTTCCCGACTCTCCAATTCTGCAGAACAGGTGCAGAAGCCGGCTGAGATGCGAAAGCAAACTCGTGTTAATGAGGGGGCTCCTTAGCGTCATTTCAGTTCAGGGTAAGCGGTATCACGATCACGCGGGAGCCTAACGTTATCGGAGAGTTCAGTCCAGTTGTTGAGACCGTTCTGCTTAGTCACCAGAGACTGTAGCCGGAGCTTCCTTCATACCTTACAGCGGACTGTTGATGGGGGGCTTGTTACAGCTGGACTATCAGAGAGTTCCCTAAAAGAGGCGGGTATAATTGTTAATAATTCTTATTAGTAGCTTGAAGGCGGCATGCTCTTGTTAATATTAAAAACTGATGAGTTGTGATAATTCCCTGTGGTACTTTTGACGAAATGGCATCACCACCCTTTGTGCAAAGCGCCGAATCAACCCATGTAATCTTGAATATCTTGCTCGAACCCTGCAAACGAAAATTCGGACTCTATCGCATTCTATCTAAGGTTAGTTGTCTGTGCGAAGCAAGGTACTTTTGGAGATGCTGGATGCAAAACCGACGTACCCAGTCAAAAGTTCCTCCAAGATCCATTGAAGGATTCACTTCCGCGTTAGGGAAGGGTAAAACGAAGTGAGGATTTCCAATTCCATGCATTGCGGGGCCAGCCACATCGTCCGTCCAACCCTTCATGCCGGGCTGCTGTAGCAGGTTTGTGAATTGCTGGCTTGGGGAGAGCATATCGGGATAGGATATTGGTGGAACTTAGTGGATAGAGAGTTAGCAGGAGTCATAAATATTTCATAGTTTACTCACCTGGGGCTGAATTGGAAGGATCTAACGCACCATCGGCGTTCGCCTTCGTGAGCAAAATCCTCACTGCGGCAGCAACCTTCTGAGCTTCTCGTGACTTTCGACTTGCGTGAACCCATATGCCGTAAGCATCTGTTAATGCTTTGATGATCTCGACTCGCGTGGGCTGTCCAGTTTTGAATCTCACCCGGTTGGTAATATCATCAGAAGTAACTGGAAGGGGTGAGGTCATGTCCCTGTCGAGATCGAGGGCAAGGACCGTGGTTGCAAGGAGGAAATCGTGGTTAACGAGCGACGAAAGTCTCCAGCTTATGGACCAAAGCCGGTACTTCATTGACCATATTTTTGCGCCGGGGCGTGAATCCAATATCTTCTGGAATTCTAGAATTTCAAGGGCTGCATCAAGACAAGCAAGCCGGGAGTATTCGTAACGAGGATCGGTCCGGCCGAGGAGAAGGAAGGGACGATGGAGCATTAATTCTGCCTTCAGGAAAGTAAGGCCAAGATACAGTCGGCGCATGGAAGAGTCCTCTTTAACATGTTCGAAGTCCTTGGCTCGAATAGCTTTCATGCTCTGAGGCATCTGGGCGAAGACGTCTCGAAGGGCGGCGTCGAGCTGCATGATATCTTGGTAGGCAGGCTGCGTAGTGGAACTAGTGGCATCTATAATTTGGCCGAAAACATCGATCACCCGATTCCGAACAAGAGCGTAGAGCATCGCGGTGTTATCGGTATCTGGCCTTGACGGTGGTAGTTCAGTGAGATTCTGGTCCAAATCCTCATCCCGGAGATTCCTAGGTTCCTGAGTATCATACATTGACTTTTGGATCATCTTTGGTAAGCCGACCTGCGAAGAGGACATGAGATCCAGCTGGACGATCATGGCCCACATTCTACGACGCATTTCTCCTTGAAAGACAGATATTTCTGGAAATCTAGACGGGTCCCGATGATAGCCCATGCGAAACGAGATGCGTACGATCATGCCGACTAGAATCCAGGTCCCGAATTGGGTGTCACGAGATCGAAGATATTCGGACACGTAATATAACAGAAGAGTCTCGATAGTGAATGGAGGACATTTGGAATAGTCAGCAAGAACGAGGCACTGTACTAGTCTTTCACGATAACTGTCCATGGCAGCTGTGATAAGAGATACGTTGAGTTCGTCATCAGCCGTGTCTCCGTAGTTATCGACTACGGAATTAAAACGAGTGGCAACGGAGAGGACCCCAAAGAGAAGGCCAAGCCACATGACAGACGTCTCAAAAGGGTGTTCCCAGAATTGCGCATACTTGAGGTTTAAACGTCAGTAGGACTCCAAAATACACCGTTGCGAATTCTACGTACCTCGTGGAGGAAGGTCGGCCGGTGGATGAGAGCTGTAAATGTAAGATCCTCAGGTCGCCAATTCAGAGAAGTGAGACTACCACTTACTTGGAGCCATATCCATGGATTCGAAGTATGTGTTAACTAGTTCGTCGGTTTCAGTTCTTGAGGGAAGGGCAGAAACAAGTTCATGTCTGGTGGCATGGCGTTGGCGGCCGAAGAGCAAGTCCGGACCTTGTATTTCACCCTGATCAGAATCGCGTGGTTGCGCAGACGTTGGTATCTGGTCCAACTGATCTTTGAGTTCTGCGATCTATCCAAACGTTAGGGTATTTGTGCTAGCAGAAGGACCGCGACATAAAGGTTATGCGGCTTACTCCGTCCAAAATGCTCGTCCAATGCCCACTGCTCGTGTATCTTGTTTCATCACTTGCGAGCTTGACTCGGTCTGGCGTACCGGGCACATCGGCCTCTGGGCTTGGCTCAATGGCAGAATAAAAAGCACCAATGTTCGATGGCAAGGCATCAGGCATATTGGAGCATTTCTTAGAGATACCTTGAACGTTTTCCTTGGGGCCCATAAGGGTTGTTACGAGCCTCTCGAGTTGATTGATTCGGTCATGGATGTTGGGGGAAGCCTTCGATTCATACTTTGCGCTTGCAGAACTTGGAGCGTACGAACATGAGAGTGAAAGGCCACGATCCACACATGTTTTGCAAGGATGCTGTCGGTCGCATTTCAACCTCGCGGGACATGTTAGCCCGTGACTAAGCAGCTCAAAGGTTCCGATGGATGAAAGTAGCTCACTTTCTTCGCCTACAGAGAGTACATGAGAGGATAGGCTTATCTCTACGTCGGCTGGGGGGAACAACACGATGCGGCGGATGCGCATCGCTGTTCATAGCGGCGGCAGAACGAAGGGTGTTGATCTTGGAGGAGACGTTGGGAGCGATTTTGCTGATGCCTCGGTGGCGGTGCCGCCGTCACTGCCCATGTAAATGATGGTCGGCGATCGGCAGGGGAAATCTCCCGAACTCCGATCTGTGAATGAAAGTGGTTAGTGAATTTCTCGCTCGTAACACTGCCGAAGCCCATCCACATTCTGATCGACTTTTCATCATATATCGCACAGATTCTTCAGTCCTTCAAATCTTCAGTCCTTCAAATCTTCAGTTCTTATTCAAAAGCGCGCAGAGCCGCCAGAAACAGCCTTAATTCCCTTGGCCTTTGAAAGACAGCGTCTACTCCGTATCTATACAGTTGATAATGCGACGCAGCCTTAAATCCGAGTTTACTTTTCACTGACGTCCGAATGAGATTGAATGCATCTTCTCTACTTGCCTTTGCTCTCTTCATCATCAATTATCGCTTTCTTGTCCTCCATTCTTTCTTTCAGTCTTCCCTCCCATGTTGTTATGAACCTTCTAAATATGTCCCCTTCTCAGCATTTTGCGCAACGGGCAACACTTTGATTGACTCTACAAGGGTCGCTAGAATGCCGAGTGAGGATCCAAATCCAATTTAGATCTTTTAGTCTCTTGCCAGCCCTTTCTTCGACTAGTTTATTACAGTCGTCCGCTGGGCTAGAGCTACATACCTCCATTTGATTCCTCTTTTATCTGATTTGATCCAGGAAGATAACTAGTCACCTTAAATGTTCAGTTCTTCGAAGGAAATCCAATGTCATCGCAAAATGTCGCAAAAACGTTCTACATAGTCCTCACACTCTTGGCTATGTCGAGCGCAGGAACTGGCCTTCATTTGACAATACGTTTCCCCAGTATTAAATGCGATGGCGGACCCTGCATCAAAATTAGGCGTCTTCCGCAGACACCCTGGTGTAGTACGTTGGCGAGCTGTAGCGACGCGTTTGCACCCCTCGCAGTGCGTCCGCTCGGTGACCGGACCGCCATCCGACTCAGTCCGGTTTCTGTCTTTGCCCTGACAGCCGTTCAATACAAATTTTGCCCTTAAGTGCCCTTCGCCAAACCATCCATAGCCATAGCTCTAGCAGTGTATACCTTCGACGAAAATCTTCTTGTCCACATCTCTTACGTAGACCTGCGCATAAGGGTCCAGATTTTGGAAGATGTTGGCTTTATTGATCGAGATCTAATAATCGGTGCGGCCGGCGGCCTCCACCAAGTCTCCACTGAGAGTGAACCATAGAGCCATCGATATCGTCAACATTTATGAAGACCTAAGTTTAGAGGAGTTAATATTTTTGCTGAAGATTTAGATCCTTCGTGATGAAGGTCAAGACTTCGGCTTCTTATCGTTTCTGCTTTCCGGATAGGCTATGTTCAAGGTTGAATCTTCGAAATGCAGAGACTCTAGCTCATTACCACTCCGCCCCAAGCCATGATTTCCAGATGCATGCTCTTGGAAGCGTCACCCCCTTCCCGAGGGCACCTATCACGCCTGTCAAGAATGCCCTCTTCAACACTCAGCAATTTACGGTGTAGTATACCCGATGCTGTAACCATACGAAGCCCTGCCTTAGCCTAGCCCTAACTGTTTGTTCACTATTCAATCTTCCAGCGTTTCGCCAACGTAGGTACAAGGGGCCTGAGATAAACTGTCTATGACCCAATCCAGCTTGCTTGGTGGCTAAGTTTGGGCTAGGTATCTAAGCATCTGAGGACTAATTTTGGACCGGTTCCTGTATTCTTAATTGAAATTCCACATCACCGCAGCCTGATAAGACTTTGAGGGTGTCATTTTTGCAACGGCGAGGCTTCTAGTGACCTCCTGTCTGATCTCATTCCATATCCTCAGGCGGAAGCCTTGAATTCTTCCCTTCCTCTCGTCACAATAACCATGACAGGACGATTAACTGCTCTCCGAATCGAACTATCGCTATTCAACGATCCACCATTAACCCCTCCAGTAGGTCAAGACCCTCAATCTAACACTCTGAGACTAGCATTACAGTTCTGCCTGCCCCTACCCAGCCATTTCTCTGCAACCAACACCGACACGACTCACAAAGCAGACAAGAAACTTATAATTTGGCTGACGGTGACCTACTAGTTCCCATTATTCTCTAATTTCTTATGTCTTGCCTCATTCAACTCAAGGAGTTTGAAATTCAAAGGAGATAGGTACTTCTGCTCTCAGTGTGGAGGCTAATTAACACCTTACGTCTCGACTGCCACGCCTCTCAAAATACTAACGCAACATATCCTATCACTAAGCTATCTCTTTCTCTAGCACAGAGTACAAGTGTAGAATATACAAGGCTAGGGTATACCCCTACGTGGAAATCTACCTGCCGGGCCTGCACCATAAAGCTATCTAATGTCAGGAGTACCACTAAATGTTAGAATTAGGCGAAGTGTCAGGAGCTAGAGTGCCTGAGGATCTGTATGAAACTAGCATCCCCCCGTGCAAAATGGTCCTGTAAATGCTACTTATCACCGTGAAAGAAAACAGGGGTAGATAGATGCTTTCTTCCCTGAGGAGGAGAGGGAGATGTCTACAGACCTCAGAAGTGTTGTTTCCCAAAGTAAAAATTGCGACAAGTTCTTGTTTAGAATATGTACTTCAACAGAATTATCATAGTTCATTCTTGAAAGTGTTGTCTGAGAAGGATTAAGCACTATGACCTTAAAGCTGTTTCCATCTTCACCGAACCAAGAATCTCTTTTGGATCTTCGAGCCGCCCGTCAGAAGTTTTCACTCTTTCGTTCAACTCTATAGCACTAGCTCCATACTTCGATCCCACAATATTCTAAATAACGATCCCCTTGCCGATCTAGGTCCTTGGACCCCAAGGTTCTCCCCTTCTCGCTAGTGCAGATCCATAATCGCAGTAATAATATGTTTGTATATTCAAAATGCAAGAGTACACTGCACTTGAGCCAAAATATTCAAGAATACCAAACAGCATTCGCACAACACCCCCCATCGTGAATATTCAACTGTGCCACAACCTTCGCCACAGTCCCATTTCCGCTCAGCCTCCAAATCTGCACAAACCCCACCGAGCTATCCGTCAACGCGACCCATTCATCACTGAAGTCGCTAGTCGCTACCGCATTCGCAGACCCACCGCTATTCGTTGTTTCCGTGAGAAACAGCTGTTTGGATATGGACCCGTCATTTGCAAGCAAAAATGCAGATATGTAGCCGAGAGTTGTGTTGGAGCGACCTCGATTTGTGGCCCAGAGGTATTTGGATGATGCGGAGAGCATGACTTCATCGGCCCAGTAATCCGATGCTAAAGCACCTAGAAGTCGTTAGGGTTGATACATGAAATGAAAGGAGTGAAGCGTGAGCGATGGCTTACTTGACGGGATCAGCGGATACGTGATATTTGTATAGCTCGGAATCCCAGAAGACGGGTCGATGCTATAAAGCGCCACTTGGCTACTCCCTTCCAACAACACGTAGAGATACTTTCCGTTCGGATGAATTGCGACATGTCGAGGATCGCTCCCAGTGCTTGGCCCACCTAGCCTGCTCACAAATTCCAGCTCACCAGATGTAGGATCAACGGCGTGTGTCCAAATCGAATTGGCAGAGTCATCCGCCGAGTAAATGAAGGTATTTTCGGCATTCAAGGCCATCCCATGCACACCGGAAGTAGACAAGTAGGTAAGGTTTTGAATGACCTGGTTCAAAGCCCCATTCTTGTCAACGGACATGACGCTACCGCAGCCTGCGGATCCACCGAAAGGGACGCCATACACGGTATACGGCTTTTTGGTTTCTGCGACGATGAAGATAGGTTTAGTAGTGCTAGAGCAGTTTCCGCCAAGAGGCAAGGTTGTGCTGTATTGAATGTTCGTTCCCCCTCCCAGGGCATAACTAACAAATGACGGAGTGCTGGAGCCCCACCCGGTTCCGTAGAGGTTCTTCTTATCATACTAGAGGTCGTAAGTCTGATAGGTTTTTTTTAATTGTATTCGATACATACGCTAAGGGCAATCCACGAACTGGATATAGACGTATTTGTCGTGTAAATGAGGTCTAATGTCAGAGCTTCATCGTCGAATTCGAGGGTGTATAGAAAATTAGTTCCAAATGAGCCCACGATCAACTGGTGAGTAGTAGCGGAAACGAAGATCGGAATAAGCGACGCAACGATGAGAAAAATATGCATTTTGGTAATACGATGAGAGGAAGTATGGCTAGTCTGTCAAATTTTGGAAACAAACTAAGAGCATGCACTCCATTTGAATAGAGACATGTGGGAGTACTAATATCAAGTCAAGACAATTAGAATCTGAGCGACGAAAGCTTGACTTTGTAACCTAGATCGCGCCGTGATGAGCACTCAAAAAGATGAGATACCATACGTAACCAAGAGATCTCGCTCCACAAATTACCAGATAAAGTAATGTACGACCGAGATCGCTGGGTATACTCCGTAGGCTTAAGAGTGTTTTATGAAACGCAGTTTCGCCATTTGACCGTTGCAATTTAAGCGCCGCGTCATCACCCGAGGTAGTATGCAGTAAAGGGACCTTGGAATTTCAGAAAACAGAGAAGAACTTGCCGCATGGGAAATGTGAGTGTGGCACCCCGATAGTATTCTAAAAGATTTGAACTCATGAAAAGCAATGCCGCTAGCCCAAAGAACGGGGTATGGAGGAATTCATAAGGAATTCCTTCGGAATGGCTCCACAGCCACCATAAGCGAGGGAGTACCAATGAAAGGCGCAATATGAAGGGAAATTTCCTTAGGATAGGAAGCAAAAACGTCGAGTTCCTACTCCGAGACCTTGAGGGTGCTATGAAGGGAGATAGAGGGAAGATCTCTGATCGAAAGTTAAGCTTATATAAGCAATCTTCGTGAAGATCTACTTCTCTATAGCTCTTCCCTTGAGCGCGGCCAATATTCAACCATCTCTAGGAAAGTCCACTCTAAGAACGTCCTCTCTTCGTGTCGAGTAAGTATGTCATGTCGCAGCATAAGGTTAGCCTTAATTCGTAAGGCAACGAGAACCCATTGTCGATTTTGCCGATGACTCTAGGCATTGTGAACCCAGAGTAGCAACTTTTCAGGTCGCATGCCACTCGTTCAAGCCAGCAGAAGTATGGCAGCCCATGTCCCTAAGTCCACATCGCATCCCCAGGTCAAGAATCTCTTTTATTGCATTTTCATTCGCGTGAGGTGTACAGGACCTCACGGTTTGCTACGAATGCAGATTGGCTTCAATTCCGGATTCCACTCGGAGCCGTTAGCATGAAAACCGTCATTTCGGATAGTGGAGCTGGTAGCAGAAGCAGTATAAGAAGTGAAAAACTCGAATCAAAGGAACAGAGGGTCCAGATAACGGCAAATCAGTTCTTCCCTCGATCTGAGTCGTTGTTCCTAGTGAATGATCTGATAACCTTCAGCAAGCGAAATGCATATGAGCGAAAGCATTACTTGTAGACAGATGTAGATTCTCTAAGTCTGCATATTGAGTCTTCGTCTGCCAATTACAATGGCTATTCTGTAGCCTTGACTTTCACAATATAACTTGCATGATTCTGTAGACTCAGTGCGGTCTGGCTTAATATCAATCTGTGACTGCGGTTCTTGCTTCTAGAAGGAGTGTGTAGTCTCAATGTGCAGCAGGGCCTGAGCACAACGCCAACCCTTAGCCTTAACCCATCTATTAACTAACCTCGCGCCCATACATTAGAAACTTCAACGTATGCTCCTCACAACTAAGTAGAAGTAAGGAGAATTATATTCACTGTTTGAATTCAGTGTGCCTAAATATTTAGTTTCTATAAACTCCTCAATTCTTATAAGTCAATTTCAATAGCTGTGCCGAAAAGTGTGGCATTGACTAACAGGCATACAAAAGGAAGGTATATCCTTAAAACAGTCCAGCCTACTTTTCTAAGGTGCTAGTTCTTCAGAAAAGGCACGGTGGTAATATTGATTCATAAAACGAAGACGAAAGCTCAGTAAAATTAGCATTGATTAACAGTTGCGACGCAAATCCCGAGAACGAGCTCCCAAAGATGCGTGCAAGTATCTATGCTACAGGGCTGTATAATAATACAAAAGATTCTTCAAACCCCAAGCCCAGATCCCAACGCCGAAAGCTTTAGACCCGCTCACTTGCCCAAAAAGCTTCCCGTAGATCAGAATCACAATTCCAACGCCGCAACCAAAACCACTCACCCAGGAAAGCTCATAAGCCACCTCTCTCCCAAACATGCTCTAAGCACGAGTCTTGTGGACCATATCAACCACACTCCTCATCAATCACATACCCCCACTCATGTTCTTCATTCCCCCACATAATCCCCTTCAGCCACGACTTGATCACTCTCGTATACGCCCCTCCCTCTCCCTCTTTCATCGGAACCGCCAAATCCATCCCCCTAAAATGAATATGTCCAACTGGCGCAATAAAGAATGCCGTCCCCGCTGCAAACGCTTCGATCAGCCGTTCCTCCTGCACTGCCTCCTCAATCTCCATCATGCTAAACTTCCTCTCCACAATCTCCACCTTTTCCAACTCCTCCCACCCCATCTCCAGCCTCGTTCTCGCAAGCTCAAGCACAGATCTCCTGGTAATCCCATCTAAAATAATCCTCTCCGACAACGGCGCCGTAACCAGTTGCAACGCTCCCTCCCTTGTCCTCCACACCACGAAGAAATTTGACGCCCCGGCTTCCGTAACATTGCAGTTTTCCCCGAACAACCAGAGAATCTGATCATACCCCATTGCTCTTGCCTCACCCTGCGCGACTAGACTGGGTCCGTAGTTCGCGCCGACTTTCGCGTAGCCGAAACCACCCGGCCAGGCGCGCACCATGTCGTCTTTACTAGCTAGGAGTCTGAGACCAGAGGGTGAGCCGTCCATAGGCGGGAAACATGTTAGGATGACGAAGAGGAGGGCTTCTTTCGGTCGTTGAACACCCAGCGCGGGGTCTGATGCTATCATCGTCGGCCTGATGTACAAAAACGCCCCCGGCCTGCTTTTAGGAAGCCACTTCGCTCCATCAGTCGCACACAGCTTGACGATCAACTTTAGCAATTCTTGTGGTGGGAACCCGGGGAGCGCAATCCTGTTCGTGGAAACCAGCATCCGATTACAGTTAAGTTCGGGCCGGAATAGACGTAGTTTGCCGTCGAACCCACGATATAGTTTCATGCCTTCGAAACACTCGGTCGCGTAGTGCAGACAGGATGCCGTTGGCATGAGGGACAGAGGACCATAAGGTTGTAAGGAGGGAGCAGACCAGCCTTGTTGGACGGTCCATTGAGCCTGGATCATGTGGTCGGTGCAGATCTTTTGTGATGCTATTTCTGCGGATCCTATTTCTGGAACGGGGCGGGGTGAGGTGGTGAGAGTGACGTTGAGAAGGGAGGCATCGAGTTCGGCGAGGGGAGTGGCGACGCCATTGCTGAATTTGGTGCCGTTGGTAACACCATTTGTGAGTGTGTCTGAGAGGGTGCTGCTATTAGACTGGGATTTCAAGACAGACGGGGCGGTTTTTTGGAGACTGTGTTCGATGCCACTAAGAGTGAGGTCCGATGTTCGGTTCTCTTCTACAGGAGGGGTCAATGCGATGGGAGACATGTCGACGAGTTAAAGCCACAATATGTTAGGTAGACAAATGATAAATTCCAATAGAAAAGCAGCTCCACTCAAGGAATTGCAAAAAATGTGAGACTGGGTAAGAGAAAACGGGGAAATGCGGCAACCTTATATTACAGGACACCTCGGAGTCACACTCCCATATCACACGGGCCACTCTTACCGCCTGCTAGATTCTCTCGCCGCTGGTATCTCGATGTGAAAAGCCAAGCGAGGTCTATGTCATGTTCCTGGCTTGTACGGCATTGCATAGGGCGCACAGCGAATCACGTGCCTGCGCTATCCAGCCAATACCGTAGCTTGCCGGACGTATCCGCGTGACGCTGAACTGGAGTTTGTCCGATCGCCGGAGTGCGGAGGTGTTGAAGACTCATCCTCAACCGCACGGATCGTAATCTGAAGAAAAGACTGTGGGGTATGCAAGCCGTGACGGGGAACACGAGAGAGCGTAATTTGAAACGTTGCGATATCGGACTGGGAATGCGACAGCAGAATTGACGATGGAGTGACAATGTCAGAGCTGGAGACTCAATTCGGAAGTCGGAAATCCGCGGCTCAACAAAGGAAGCCATTGACAAGAGCCTGCACCATTGGCGAATCAAATGACGATTTTGCCTCGTCCCTCAAGCAAGGCGTAGATCATATTCTAGTGCGTGTGTGCAGAAATCTGAGAATTTCCTGCATACCCTGTATCGTTCGGGACTCCGCACAATGCATGATGCAAGAAAAATGATCCCAAATGGCCATGCCATCTATATCCGCGAGCATAAACTGATGGATGTGCGTCACTGCATATCGCTTGCTGAGAGCGTTTGTGATCCCCGTAGACCATCGATGCCAGCGAGAATCCCGTCTGCAACTTCACCAACCCGGCCCTCGAGGCTTCTGAGATCCAGGTTGTTGACTGCTTGATTGATCGTATCCATAACCTCCTCTTCCTGCACCGTTTCTGCCATGACAGTCCCCTCGGTCTGCCAGTATTCCTCTCTTACGCCCCTCAACGCTGGATCCCTGTTGATCGAGTTCGTTAGGAGACCTAGGGCCCGGAGTTTATTGAGCGTCTCCTCCGCCTGTCGTGTTGTCACCTCCAGGCGTTCCGCGATAGCGGGCGGGGAAGCCAACCAACGGTTTGTGCTGGTTGCCCACAGCACACACGCCAGGATACCGTCTGACGCCGCAAACGCCAAATACCTCAGGACACGAACGCGCCAATGCACGAAGTCGAGTTCCTGGAGCACCTTTGCCTTCTTGTTTAACGTGACGTCGTAGCTATTCAGGAACCATATCTCCGCCACCATCAAAAGCAATCCTGCTATTGTTGCGTGTGTCCGAAACCGGGATCCTTCGCTGCCTACGAGGGAGGAGGTTGCCAGTCCGAGGACGGCTAGATGGAAGATATGTGGTGTGACCATCTTTGGAAGGCTGTATAAGAAGTAATTCTGGGCGTCGATCCCATCGGAAGTTGTGCACCATATACAATTGATCAATGTGTCCGGACCATACGTCAGGTACAGTAGCTTGTACTGTCCACTTGCGCTGAACTTTGAACGTAGGACCTCATCCTCCTCTGTCAACGGGCGCAGCAGTTTGAGCCGCGCAAAGAGCACATCGGCTTGTATTTGCAGTCGACTCTGCGTCTTCAAGAATATGTTTTCGGGTGCAAAGTAGGGAACGCTGAGGACGAGGGAAACGACGGCGCTAGCAAAGAGGATGTTGAGGGCGCGGAGCACCTTGGTAGGCACCGGCCGCACGGGAACGCTCCGGGAAGTTGCGCGAGAGGTGTTGAAAAGGTTCACGAGTCGCGGGAGGAGGAAGGGTCCGAATATCGTGAGGAGGCCATGGAGGGACTTGGGAAGGAATGTAAGACGCGGTATTACGAAGTAGGATATGAGGAATAAAACAATAGACTGTAGGCTGATCATGGCAGTGGTAGGATCGAGGGCATGAGGACAACCCGTCAAAACAAGCCGAAATGTCTACAGCAACACGGCAGCATAACATGGATGGAGATATGTGTTTGAGAGAGAGAAACGTGTCTACGCCGAGGTTGACCCGTCGCGCAAGGCTGGCTACTTGCGCTAAGCTTAAATTAGCTTAACGCGATGCTGTTTTCTTGACTAACTTTATAAGGCAATATTCTGCTCAAAGTGCTTGACCTGCTGTTTGGCATTTGCAAAGGCTTCGGAAGCCCCCATCTCTCGTCTTTGGAATTCCGGTTGCAGATGACAGTGCTGTCGATGCCGTTTTCACGGGAGCCGAGTGTAATTTCTGGTCCATTCCTTTTGACGGCGTAGATGTAACGGCCAGACATTGTGGATTCGACACAGCTTAGTAGTAGCTACTGGACTTGGCTGACGTTTATCTGCCTAGGTAGTAGAATGTTGACACGATTCCCGTGATTTAGACACGCCATCGGATGAACAGTGACCAGTGCTGCCTTTTACATGCGCTTAAATATCCCCGAACTTTGCTTTTATTCCACGAGATCTATGCACCTGAATCGCTCATTCGATTCCCTGCTATCAATAAACCCAGTCAATCATCTCGCATCACCCAATGCCCGCCATTCCAACTATTCCTACTCCACCAAACCCGTCTCCTTAAACTCTCGACTCCGTTTTCAAAATCTTATACGTACTCCCAATACCTATCGTTCTTCTCCCGCATAACTTGCGAGATATGCGCTCTAATCCTCAAGCCACGCCACCGAGCGCAACTGCTTCGAGATCTGTTTCCTCTGTGCATCTGCAAATGCACAACACCCCAAGTTCGCTTGTTAATTGTCGTTTGGCAGCCGCGAGCCAGTGGATGCCGCCTTCAGGTCGCCTCCTAAGCCCCCTGGGCCTCACGAGTTCTCGATACCTAGGCAACTTCATATGCACATCATCACGAAAACGTGGGTGGAGAGGGCTTGGGTCTAGGCTGAGTTTTTCATTGCGACAATGCGCTGGTCTTTGGCACTTAGTGGTGGAATGAGGGCGTTTTGTACCGTAAGGGTAGAGCAATTAAGGATACTCATAATTATTCAGGGAGATGCTAGTCTACTATAGGGTGGAAACATCGGATACTTCAATCAATGTCATCCCATCACCGTGGTGTGTAGGATGATAGACGCTGTTCCTGGAGCAAGCTGGAGCATGCCGTACACTCAAATCGTCATGAACCAACAAAGTCGCACTTAAAGCGTTGAGATTTCCTCAAGCCTAAGCCTACTCCGATCAATTAATTAAAATGTACATCCTCCTGCACCAACAGGTCATCCTTTCGCCTACTGTGTCGTGCGCCTAGAACATCACGTCTATTATACGTCTCTCAGGACTGTAGAGAATATAGTCATCTTCACAGCGTACATGGCCTCATCACCCACGGGAGAAGTCCACGACCTTCCGAATCTAAAATAGGCTAAAGTCAAATCACTTTATCGCGTGCCTAGGTGATCTGATGAGAAGACACCGCTTCACAAGAAACATATTAACACCTAGAAGACTATCCTGAAGTAAGGGCTAGTAGTGTGCATTCCCCCGCATTCTTTAGGGTTTCCCTGCATCTCGTGCGAGAATAGACTGCAGGAGTGTAATATGGAGCATGTACTACGCCGTGAGTGCGCATATACTATCAAGTTACCAATGTAACGAATGCAACGTGTCTGCGAAGAGTATAGGGTTTGAGAAAGCTTAAAGGCCAGATATGTTCGAAGCTTTGCATAGTATCGTCGTGCACACGAGGATCTAGAGACCCTTGCTTCCGCGATGAAGTCCCCCGCAGTCATCCTCTTCGCCTCTGGATTGCTGAGCCAGGCCAACGCGCATTGTCCGTCTTCCTCCCTCATTTCCCTGAATTCTATCACGATTGAGTAGACTAATGTACGTCTCCTTCATGCAGATACTTTCGGGCGTCTCATTTTCAACAACACATGGTCAAAAACATGGGAATACGTCCGGTAAGTTCCACCGTACCTTCTTCCATGTTTCCCAATGTCGAAAACGAACCAAGTCTGACAGATTCTTAGAGAAATAAGCCCCTCAACCACAATTACGCAACCCGACATCGCACTACTCGCACCAAACACTGAGCCCACGTCAACTGACATCCGCTGCGGACGCAATGCCAGCGCATCCTGGTCTAAACCAAAGACGGCGACGATACGAGCAGGCGATACTGTCGGATTTGCCGCTGGAGAGCCGAGGCTAGCTGTACGGTCTCATTCTTCCTATATCTACTTTTCGGACCCATCGTGTGTTCCTCTATTTGCCTCAAGCCTTCATGGGTCTGATTGAATTCTAGCTCCTGTATTCCTCTTCCCTAATGGTGTTGAACAGGGCGCCGACGTCGCACGTATCTACCACCCGGGCTTCGCATCTGCATGGCTCTCCCATTCCCCAACGGATGATTTGAATGCATACACAGGCGATGGCGATTGGTTCAAGATCATGAGCGTCACTGGGCGAACGGAACAATCGCTAGATTTTTCGCTTCCGGAGAACAAGAATCTGTACAACGAGTATAAGGCGATTTGGGGGACGCTCAACGTCCAGAGTGTGGGTTAATTCTCGTTCTATCTTATTCTCTTCCCCAACATGGAAGAAACGGAATAGACATCGGATCACCTGAATAACAACCGTGGCAGTGGAATTTCACAATCCCGAAGACAACTCCACCTGGGAAGTACTTGTTACGCTTCGAGCACATTTTCCCGAACCCACAGGACTCTCAGTATTATATGACATGCGCACATGTTAACATCGTCAATCTAAACAGTGCAGTTGGCACTCCAGGGCCATTGGTCAAGATCCCTGGTGTTTACAAGCGCGGACAACCAGGTATGTGGACAGGCGGTTTTGGCAAGCATGAGACTAACGGGTTCCCATATATATAGATGTATACTTTGATCACTATGACTTAAAGTTTAATATCTCGCAATTTGTGGCGCCGAGCCCGGTGGTCTGGGTGGGATGAGAGATGGCCCGGAATTTTGGGCCGGGTTGGTTAGCGGTTGTTATTGGGGCAAGAGGGGTGAAGAGGCGAAGACCTGCATCCAAACATAGCCTTTTAGTCATCTCTTCAACCTTATCGTACCTACTGAATGCCAGACCATGCGTCCGGACTACTGCATAGCCCATTGTTGGAGCTAAACTAGCTAGAGGGAGGCTATGACCGCTGTTGTGCTTTCAGAGCTGTTTCCAGTGCCTAACTTTGTCCTTCATCTGAATCTAAGGAGGTTGATCGTTTGGGGTGAAGGAGACCCGGGTATCTCAATGCTGAGGGGTGTATTGATCTAACCAGTCGAGTCGACTTCATCATAGCGTGTTGCAGCCAACCGGGGCAGTGGAAACTAGTCGAATTAATGCTATAGGAATTAGTTGTCTACTATACCATCCCGAGAGGGTACTAAATTAATTAAAGGGGGTGGGAAATCGCTATGTGGATTTCTCGATCTGGGGGTAGGATGTGGCAACAACAAACAGGTGCTAATTTTTTTCGGGGACTGGAGATGCAAGTAGAAATTGCCGGGCGGGGTAAAGATGAGCCGAGGAATGGGTTGAAAGAATTCCAGGTTTGTTGTGGAGTACGTTTACGCATGGTGTGGTTCGTCGCTCAGTTGGTAAGGTCATCTCCTTTTGCAAGTTTCTTTAGCCACATTCAACGGCTTGCGACACGCTATCACAGCTCAACTTGTGATAAATGAATCCACCGAAAACTGGCTGAATTTTTAAATATGTTTGTGAACTAATTATGCGTGACGCGGTGAAGGTAATGACGTAGTCCGAAAGCGTCGGAATGATGAGCAGCGATATGAAAGCGGCAGAGATGTCGATAATTCCGAGGAGAGTTCCAGAGACTCGGGTGAACACTACCAAAGCCAAAAGCATAGTATAGAAGTTGGGTCAAGGGAGAACTTCTAGAAAGAAATCGAAGAGCTAGATCTGGTAGAAGACAGTCTTTCTTGGTGTTGATTGTGCAGCTTTTGGCAAACATGACCACAATACTCTTCATTCATAGCAAGCTGGACAAATTAGCGCTTCAAATTCAGTGCGTACAGGAAGACTCCCAATTTCTATCGACTTGGACAGGTTGAACGTCTGTCAGTCCGCATAAGAAACTTAGTGCTGTTAATATGGTTTGCTTGAAAGTATTCACTATTCTCCGATAAACTTCCAGCTATCCACATCCTTCTCTCAAGGGATTTTGGAAGGACAAATAGTACGGGGACCCGAGCAGGTATCACCACCAAAAATCCTTACAATGCGTCTGGGCCCGAGCCGATAGTAGTTTCAACCACTATTCGAAGCACAATTAGATTCTGCGTCCAATGCCTATTCTCAAATACTTCCTTTAGGTGATTGGTGGTTATTTATCATGTGGAAAGGGTGGCACCCCCTTTGTCTTTATAAAGTCCGGTAATTTTGCCTCTGCGATGGATTTACTAGCAGACTAGAAAATCAGCTAATCCGTTGCGCAGGAGACGAATGGTAGCTATTCACGTCCATACATTGGCAGCTACGAAGGCGCCATTTCCATGTTGGGATGAGTCGACGCATGGGAAAGAAAGCTGAGATTTTCGTATGGTAATAAATTTACTACAGCGTCGCACCACCACTACATATGGTTTCCCTGATCTAGAAACACTCCGTGAGTAATAAAATCTAGAAAAAGCCCGAAGACTGGATAAATCTTATCATGGTGAATCGCGCATTAGTGCTACCCTCGGCATACGAGCTCTGGAAGCTCGAATAATCGACCCGCTCGGTATTTTATGCGTGTAACATAATGGAGCCTATTGTTGATAAAGAAATAGTGTGCTGGAGGATAAGAAGGGCGAGATCAGTTCGCAGTTCCTTGGAGAGTTCGTCAGAATATCTCTTCCTCAATATCAAATGAACATACTAGCCCTTGTAACCTAGTCATAACCCGGAGTTATCCTACTTAACGATGGGGGACAAGTGACAAGTAACTGATAAGGGAACTCTAGCTAACAGCTCTTTCTCCATATCTACGGGCTCTTCATCTCGGTATGTCTTGCCTGGTATTGGAGAAACCCAGCAACTCGAACATTCGCCAACGCACATCTGCGCTCTCCATCTTGAAGGGTGGGATATTGACCCTATTGGTTCATACGCAGAAGCTGCTGTGGCTAAGTGGCTCTGTGGCGATGGCTGAGTGGCTGGTGCTTCACCGGTTTTGCCTGACACTGGAGCGATCGCACATTTGTGCTCTCGCCCATCTGGGGCCCAGCCTGATTAATCATAATATGTGGTTATCCGCGGCTGGTAATAAAATTCTCTCTTACACCTGGGAGCAATCGTTTGGCTCGTCGTGAATGTACTGGCTACATAAAGATCAGACACAATGGCAAACCAACAGACCGATCACCATTACCCGAGCACTAGTGGCCGTCGAGTATCGTTCGCTCTGTCTTCCTACCACGTGCCACCACCGTATCCGCCTCAACAGCGTTCAGCGTCTTCAGTCTCCATAAACTCAGGCGCAAAGAGCGTCTTTTCAATCGAGTCGAGCGACTCTGGCTACCAATCCAGCTATTGTCCCTTCCAAAATGATCCCGTTATTGACTCCACGCGTCAGTCGTCCGCACATGAATGCCAGGCACCGCCCAAGTTTGTCTCCTCGAACAACTCCGGCTATCGTTCAGGGAGTAATAGCATACCCATACCCATATCCATGCGAGAACTTAGTACGAGGGAAGAAGATGCTGCGTGGAACTTCATAGAACATGCGAGACGCTGCGCTTTTTGTAGAGATCCATATGAAGTCTACTGGTATCATGAGCAACTCTGTACGACCGGTAGTGAACTGGCACAGGAAGTCGCCAAAGTCATATTCATAAGAGATGAGGAGGTGTGGAGTAAGGTCGACTACCGTCAAGTCAGTCTTGGGATTCAGTTTGAACCTCTACGATGGTTGCTGAAATCCATCGAGCAAAGCTGTTGGCGTAGGGGGGTGTCATTTGTCTCGCTAGATACCGTCCCTCGCTCCTCTGCAGTAGTCCAAAACCCTGATATCTATAACCACATTGGCCGGCCTTTAACTCGCCGACGGCAGCCATCCTCTAGAGGCAAATCCAGTATATATACCGAAAATGGCTATGAAGGGGGAAACGATGAGCCGGCCACCAAGTCTGACCGAAAAGTTCGCAAGATGGACCAAGCGCATCGGCACCACGTCGAAGAAAAGTACGCAACCGAACCCGTTGAAAAGTGGCCATCTTCTCAACAATGCCCGCCTGCACCAAAATCCCCTGGCGAAGGGAAGAGTTCGGCTGCTATTTCCAAGGAGGTACGTCAGTCGCGGTACACGTACTTGTATGTCTCAAGTTTTCGCGCCGCAAAGCTCTTTTTAGAGGCCTTCAGCAGATAAAGACAACTAAGGCATGCTAGGGTGTTAACCCCCCCTTCCTTTATATGAGGCACTTGCTAATGTGTACCTTTACGTTCGTAGGGCCCTCGTTTCAAGGAATCTAGGTGGCACAGAAATGTGCCCCTCCGTCCACAAGCAAGGGAAGATTCAAGGCCAGTGGACATTGATAGTTCACCGATCCAAGCTAAGCGACGGCCATGTGTGAAGCATCGTGAACCACAATTCATCAATGAAGAACATGACGACAATTCTAATGACTCTCCCATTGAACGCATGGGGAAGAGATGGGTACGAATAAAGCCCTCCTTTAACCAGTCCCAAGCAAGTCCCCCCCCGCAAGAACGGACTGAAGGGACAGAAAAGAAACCTGAGAATTCCCCGAGACTATCAAAAGACCTAGATAGTAGAGGTTATATGGTAAATCGTACAGGCGCCGAGCAAAATGAAGACTGCCAGACCGAGGATTTAAGCGACAAAGATCGAATGGGAATGCCAAGCGAACGCACTGAGAGACTCCTCAGTACAGCATTAGTTCAAATTAAGGAGCTCCTTGTCTGCGAGCTTGTGGATTATGCATTCGAAGCTACGGATGGTCTGGGGGGCTCTAATCCGTCTGAGAAACGACAGAGAGAGTCTTCGTCATCCTCATCTTCCCAAGCATCGGATCACCCACCACAAAGGAAGCGAGCACGCGGAGGTGGGAGAGATCCTGGAGATGGCGGAGATGACTCAGGCGATGATGGTGATAATAATGATCGGCCACCGAAGAAAAACGGAAAAAAATCGCCATTTGGGGTTCCCCACCGGCGCTTAAAGTGCCCTTTTTTTCAGAGACAGCCCGAGAAGTTCGCTCGAGCAGCGTGCAGAGGCGCAGGTTTTGCGGATATGGCAAAGCTTAAAGACCACATTAAAAGGGTGCACACGCAACCTCTTCGTTGTTTACGATGCTGGAAAGAAATGGAGTCTGAAGATGCATACACAGCGCATCAGCAGGCAGACACGTACTGCAACAAGCGGCCAGAACCCCCTGATGACCGTATTCGACCACAGATGCTGAACAAACTCGACTTCAAGAAGGCACCATATGCACATGCAAAAACTACGGAAGAGAAATGGAAAATTCTTTACAGGCTCTTATTCCCGAATGATGGAGAGGTCCCTTCTCCCTATGATCAGCATGCTTTCACTCCGAGGCTCGAACGGGTTCTATTCGAAGTTCTTGAAGAAGAATTGACTAGGGAACTTGCGCCAGCACTGGAGCCGATCCTGAATCGAATTAAACAACGAATACCGTCGATCATCCAAAACTGCAAGCTAAGACTCCTAAACACGGCTTCGGAGAGCGATACCACCTACTCCCCTAGCAGTCTTGCCACTTTCACTACGATAGACTCAGAGCAAAGGGGCCCGTGCACTCAATCTAAGCAGACAAGTGGAACTATATCTCCTTTTTCAGGAAGCTATGCAGCTAATGCAGGCAATGGTCCTCTTAGAGAGAAAGGCAGGGGAACACAACACGGCCATTCCTCGCCCTCCAGATCTAGCACAGACGGCTTTCAAGATTCTCATCATGAGTCGTCACCAGAGAGCATTTTCGACTCTCAAGTCACGCCCCCGGATCTTGTCAGTGGTCCTAGTGACTTCAATGCCCTGAACGCTACCTGCCCTGGATACCCTCAAATCCGTAATGATTACCAATATTATTTCCCTACTTGCCTTCCAAACGAACAGATTGGAAATCTCACTCCAAGTACCACACAAGAAGTCACAATAAATCAATCTTCAACCTCCAAAGGAAAGCAACCCCAATGGAACTCCTTTCCAATTTTGGGCTCGAGCAACGCCTCAGGTGACACCAACGTCTTTCATGAGGAGCCTAAGCGAACGGCTTCGAGAGACTGCGATACGCCCAGTAAATTCAACAATCCCCAGCCAGTGTCAGATTGCGACTATGTTCCTAATGGCTTCGATTTCGACCTTGAGCAATTCTTTAACAACTTTTAAAACGCAGGTGTACATAAATGTATTATATTAATGCCTCTTACATCGCTTAGGTCGGTATTTCCTGACATGTGACACCAGATACTTCTCCAGATCGCGGACTTCATAATAACCATTGCCTCATTGCTGTGATATAACTGCTTGACACCGCCAATACATGCGAAAGTGATCTCACTTCTTAATGCATCTGTGTCATGCTAATTAATCCGGCTGAATCCATGATTTCGAGCTTCACTGAAGCCCTCTACGGCCATTATTCCTGGCCGTCAGTACACCTAACATTGTTCGAAATCAGCAGGTGGAGCACCTGCATATTTTCAGGTGCCTTCAGATCGTGCTTGAGGCTTTAAGCTAAGCTAATCGATATAAAAACAATCCTTAACTAGATAACGTAGTAGAGAAAGGACCGTCGGTCTACTGTACCGTTATAGTTCTCGCGTGCTAGAATGCTGAGGTAAAGCTAACATGTAAGCTCCTTTAAGTTTAGAAGGGCAGATTTGACAAGGGCTACACAAACTGCTCTATTCAGCAAGCCCAACGCTCACACCACGCCCGCAGGACCCGAGTATCTACAGGTGCGCCCGTCGAACCAGAACACTGGACGGAGTCGTAACGGAGCTCTGGCATTTCATCTAGATCGACGAGTTCGGGACGAGCAGCGAAAGACGTGCGATGGCGAAGATATCGATAGCAATGAAAGGAGAACGAGACAACCGCTAGTTAGCATAGAAACCCTGTTCTGGTTCCGATATTGCGTGCATATGGTATATTAGTTGAAATTTGAAAGGGCTACCCCGAAGTCCAATCCTTCGAACTAGTGACAGGAAAACGTGATGGGATAATTTCGCGTTGTGACTATCCCTTAGTAAGTGAACATCGCCGAGTGTCCAGATCCTAGCGAGAAGCATGACCGACCTCATGGACTGATAAATAATCCAGAAAGTCCTTTGGGCCTGGCTTCTCATAGAGAAGTTCCCCAATGGGTAAAGTACAAAGACTCCAAGAATATTGGGAATTGAGGCCGTTACGGGAATGGGTCCGACATATTGATTTGTCTCGTCACTTCTGCCATGCTTCGAGTCCCTTGCATAGCATCGCATAAGCGACCTCGGGAAGTACGGTGGTTGCAGCCGTCAACGCGATCGCTAGGGATAGATGCAGCGGGATAGAAAGACACGTTCCGGGGGAACGGGCAATTTGAATTCAGCATCGTTTCCCAGCGGAGTTTGTGGTGCGTTTTGGTCTTCTTGGTTGTCGGATTCGGCGAGGATTCCGAGGAGGCGGCGTGCTTGTTCAGGAAAGCGTGAATCGCGGGCACTAACATCCATTTGTGCGTTGCGAGTTGTCGCAAATCTACTGATGGGCCATGAACCTCGGACGACTTTATTGGCAATCAGGAGATGTTCTTTGAGTTGGGTGCCAGGTACAGAAAGTTCCGCTGGACCTATCCTTGTTCCGTTTAACCGGGGCCGGGACACGAATCTTCAGGCCTTGCAAAAAAGATCTTTATGACTTCGAGACTCCGGGCTCAAGGCCAGCTTCTTAACTCATCTGGGCATTTGGACTTTTCACCATGGAGGCAATTCTTGAAGACTTAATCGCGTCGTTGAGGACTGTCTCAAAACAACTCCAAACTGATGCCAAACCCCTCCTCCAAGAATCCCTCCATGATACAGACAAGCTACCTGATTTCCGAACCTCTGCGCTTGCATCGGAAGCAGTTGATCTATTATCGGAACTACGCCTACTTCTAGAACCCGGTCACGCAGTGCTCGCAGACCATTTCTTAGGTAAGCATTGAGTTTCCCTTTCTATTATCACGTGATACTCACCATCCAGGCTACACCAACACCAAATGCTTGGTAGCTGCCGTTGATCTCAACATCCCAGACGCCCTGCGTTCTGGACCGAAGACTCTCTTTGCTCTCGCAGAAGTTAGTAATTCGCGACATGACCGCCTCGGTCAAGTGCTCCGGACTCTGACCAATAATGGCATTTTTACCTATGATATATCAACCAAGACCTATTCCAATAACCATGTCTCAACACTGCTCCAATCGGACCATTGGTCTCAATGGCGAAATTTGGTCGAACTGTATGGAAATGAATTCTACGACATGGCGCGTGGGATTCCTGAATCCATTGGAGCCGGCGTAGTACGAACACCTGCGCAGATCAACTACGATACTGATGAGAGCATGTTCGACTACTTCACCGAAAAAGGCTGGATTGAAAAATTCCAGAAGACACTGAGCGCTGGAGCAACAGCCCAAGTCCCTGGAATCCTCGAGGACTATCCCTGGCACGTAGTTGCAGATGCGTCGATCCTAGATGTCGGAGGTGGGACCGGAGGCTTCATCGCATCTCTATTGGGAAAGTTCAAGAATATGAAGGGTGCAATTCTGGACCTTCCGGAAGTGATCCAGCAAGCCAAGAGCAATTTCCACAGCACCGATGGCCAGTATGCTAAAGTCCAAGATCAAATCCCGGAGGAAAACCTCATCGCTGGAGATTTCTTTGTCGAGGTTCCTAGCTCCGAGGTGTACGTTATGAAGTGGTGTCTGCATGACTGGGATGACGAAAAGGCAACTATAGTCTTGAAGAATATCAGACGAGCGATTAAAAAGGGAAACCGAAGCCGCCTAGTGATTTTGGAATCTGTGTTGAAGAGTGGTGATGTAGGGCGACTCTCCCGGTACGCTGATTTGAACATGATGGTAGCAGTTGGCAGCAAAGAAAGAGACGAAGAGGAGTGGAGGGCATTAGCAGCGGCGAGTGGGTGGCAGATAAGAATGATTTACGATCTTCGAAATGCGTGGCCATCCGCCATTGAATTCTTTCCAGTTTGGGAGGATCCGACAGTCGTGGCGAAAGAATCAATTCCGGAACATTCAGTGTCATTGGCTAACGGAGACCAAGCCGTGGAACGGCCCCTTTTGTTGAATGGAGTTGATGCCGTTAAACCAACAGCAGCCGATGTCAAGGAGAAAGAGACAAGTGCAGAATTGATTCCCACGGAAAGCCATGTTAACGAGACCGCTCAAGAGGAGCCTGCACCACTGCGTTCGGAAGTGCAACTTCAAGGAGAGCCATCCCAGCCACAGACACCGGCCCAAGAACCAGCATCAAAAGGATTAGCATCGGCAGAGCCAGCCCCTCTCGTCAACGGTATTAGTACCTCGCCGAGTCAGACCACAGCGCAGATGCGATTCCTCGAACCTTGGGACCCATCACGCGGCAACCCATACATTCGGACCAACCCTTGTCAGGGCTACGACCACATGAACTTCAAATGGCAGGAGCATTCGGTGCCTATCACCAATGCTAGGCCGAAAATGAACGACTTCAATCTTGACATTCATGGCTTCACTTACGCTAAAGACGAAATCTCTCCTGATTTGATCGACGCTCTTCGCCAAAACCAGCGCGATACCGTGAAACAGCTTTATTATCCGCAAGTTACAGAGCTCGCCATGAAGCTGACGGGGGGCAAGCGGGTAATTGTCTTTGATCATACCCATCGAAAGCGAGGGCCGGAACCCGAAAATATGCAAAATGGCAACATAGCAGAGCAGCCGGCTACAATGGTACGTCTTTCCCTTAATTCCAACTTATATAACTGCAACACGTTCCGGAAACTTATCAGACTATAGGTACACTGTGATCAATTCGAGGAAGCTGCTATAAGACGTTTACGAGAGAATCTTCATCCGTGGGAAGACGTGGATACCGTCCTCAGGGGCCGGGTGCAAATGATCAAGTGAGACTGCCTTCTATCGCTCGTTGCACAACTCCTAATCTCTACTAGTATCTGGCGTCCCCTGGCCGCTCCAGTTCAAGACTGGCCTCTTGCAACTATGGATTACCAAAGCGTAGAACCAGACGCTATTCAACCTTGTGATCTTCTTAGAGAAACCTTTGAGAAGCGAGGGCAAACTGCAACCTTCAAGCATTCAGAGGACCAAAAGTGGTATTACCTGGACAAACAAACTACGGACGAAGTTACTGCTATCAAGATTTGGGATAATCTAGATGGCGTGAGTAGAAGTATGATTGCTATCCACTTTCGGATTTAATAGAGCTAACGGATGCTAGTTTGTGCACATGCTCCATTCAAGAATCCTGCAGCACCAAAGGATATAGTACTCAGTGAGAGCATCGAAGTGAGATGTTTGGTGTTGGATGAGCCAGAGAGCAAGTGGTTCTCAGACTGCCCTTGCTGCAAATCTCCGTGAACGATGAAGGGGATGGAGATATGAGTAATTTTTTTAATGTGGGATTTGTATATACCTTCTTGTGCACAACCTAACCCAAAGCTGTTTGGTAGTTTGAATGTTTCCTGAGGATGGGTATTAAGAATGCTGCGGTCTCAAACTTACTATTATATTTACCAGCATACTTCTAGTTACAGAACCACTATCATAGTGAAATACCCCGAATGCTGAACCAGGAGAAGGTCTATGCAACCACAGTCGTACAGGGAAGCCATTATAACAGCTTACCAGCCACGGATCATATCCCAAACAGAGCCCGCGGTGGTGACCGAAGTTTTTCATCAAGTCAATAGGCGCCGAATCGAGCTACTATGCACAGTACTACAGTTCGCATATATCCCGTCATTCCCATTATTGAGATAGGATTTGACATTTAGTCTAGTGGCTTACTGAGCTCCCAAATTATACGGACTCAGGTCATGTTCTGTCAGCTTTTTACAAGATGTCCTCTCTGCACAGCTGTCGGTTTCTAGGCCTATGGGGATTTTGCGCTCTCTTAAGTTCTGTTTAGTCAGAAGTAAGCTACCTTTGGATACTGATTGTAGGGGGCTGCTTTGCAAGACTGCGTTATTAGGTGGCTATTTATCTTTAGGACTACCTAGTCGCTTCCATTTTCTGGTGTCATATAGGTCTTGGCATTTGATAGAGGGCGAAGTGCACCCTTCGTTAGCAGAAATAAGGTGGGAATATTGAAGGGGCTCTAGAAAGGGAGCAGGGGAAGATGGCGTGTTAGGAGCTTATTCTTGGTCGCTATAATGCACCCCCTCGGACAAGAGAGGAGTTTTAGTCTTGTGTATGGCCTAAGAAGTTTTCTCATAATGTAATGGTAAGTTTCAAACCCACTCTCTATAATCCAATCTAGCCGAAATCCTTACTCGTGCTCCAAACCGCACGCACACGCGAACGCTCCACTCCAATGTGTTCCAGGCCGAGCCGGAGTAGCGGTAGAAATGGCGTTAAGGCTTTGATTTCAGAGGTTTCGAATTGATTGTTTGAATGAATTCGATACTTCTTGTAGAATCGGAGCCAGCCTTCTAAGATATCCCTTCGGTGGCGAACGCCTTGATGGAATTAGTAGCTCCCCTAACTCTTTCGTCGAGAGCAATCATGTGATTTCCGTGATGCTGTGACATAAAGACTGGCGAGACACTACTACAAGCGTCATATCTGAGCTTACACGGATACGAAACCTATCCAAGACCACTCCACTATAGCTCCGATATCACATCTCTGTCTTCGGGTTACTTGACGTGAGTTTCTGATTAATTCAACATATTGTATCCTCTGGGTAAAGTTTTGGGACAATTCTTTTTTGCATCTCGCATCAATCAGTCCACTACTGTAGAATATCAATATTTGAAAAGTTGCTGACAACCGGCTCCGCAACAGCGCCTTGATAGTTGGGCATGACCGCCTCGGCATTTAATCTGCCTCATTTTGAAATTCAGTTCTCTTGATAGACTGTCATTATCAAGTAGTCGTGCGGGGATCACTCCAAAGGAGCGGTGAAAATCCGGGAAGCGAATTAGGCTCCAACTTTCTTCACGGTACTAAGTTACCCATCGCTTTGCTTGATGTGTCCCCGATATTTCCTGTCGCCAGCCAAGGAGGCAGGTATCTCCAGGGGAATGATATGAGGAGTTACGGTAGAGGTCGGAGGGATTCATTGGGGAAACAGGGGTCTCGTTGTTGCGATATCCCGAAGTCGGTTTCGGGGTAACGGCTGCCTGGAACCGGCACTGTGTGCTTACGACGACGTCGATAACAGACTTCTCAACGATAATTCGACCCTAGGTAGTTTGTTGGAAAAGTAAAAAAGAAATTTTTGAGATGGCTTATAAGGAGCATGGTGAGGACGAGGGGTAGTTAAGCACGAACCAGACGTCTGTGCGCTTAAGTTGTTAATTAAATTGTTATGATTCATGAATCTTGATATGCACTGGGTCTCCCGTCACACCTCTCGACACATTAGCGTTGCCATCGCACAGTCTGCACCCATAGATTTCTTATTTTACGATCCAATGCCTTGAAGCAGAGGTCCGCTACGCAGAGGCCATGGACGAACGTGCCTGCCGTCCTTTTCCTGGGTGTGAAGAGGTGCATCATCATGAAAGTCCGTGCCAACTCTTGAGCAGATGCCCTCATCAACTCGGTGATTTCTGCTCTCCCACATACCTGTAAACCCAGCCTCTGCAACTAGTATGCCCTGCTCCTCCCATTGAACCTCGACTTTTATCTATCTGTCAATTTTTTATTCGTGAGCTTTTTTTTCGTGCCGTCGCTTGCGCTCCTCTCTACCAACCCTCACAAGGTACTCTCGAACGCGCCACGATGTCCATATTTGGGTGTGAAACATCCAAGAGCGTCGCTACGCCGGGTCCCTTGGAGTAATTATCTAGCAAATCAGTGGGCGGCAAGACAACCCAAGGTCATCATACTGGAAGCGAACGAGATGTGATGCCTTAGCCACCGACTTCGAAGCTGAACAAGGCTGAAATATCCAGAAGGAAATCTAGTCCAATTTCTCGAAACTAAGCCAAAGGGCAAGAAACATACGTCTAGGCACTGCAAACGAAGGTCCTGAAGTGCAGATGGCGTTCTAGACATGATCGGACGTGCTCAATCAGCATAGCTCACTAATGACGACACTCCTGCAATACTCTTACCCAAGACAATATGCCCTCTAGTTGGTCGGCGACACTCCGAGGTTTTGTGTTAGGTTAAAGCTTTGCCTTGCGAAACTACCTACGCAGCACCGTTTTCAGTAATTTCTACCCATAGTCTGCGATTTCCTACAAGCTTACTCATTCTGTTATCTATGGACCCCTCACCGAAGGATTCGCCTACCTTACTGCAAGACTTCATTTCACATGACTTCTACAAATATATGATCCCCCGGTGGCAAACGCTCCCGATAGGACTGCTTGTTCACCATCTTACTCTGTGAACGAGAGTACTGCCGTCATAGAAGTAGATGAATTTCCCATGATCCGAGCCAATAAGAGTTTCTAGATCTTAGTTAGTGTTTTGGAACGTTGGAATATTAATTTCTGTCGTATATACAACGTCGGCTAAATACCGTCGCAGCTCACACTTCCTCTTCAGAAACGCAGACAGAATTGGCACATGGTCGACCATCGCAAATGGCTGCGTCTTAATTCCAAGTTGCCGAGATCGTTTCGGCATTTCGAAATTCCTTACGCCATGCATATGTGGAGGCCTGGGGTACATTATCGCCTTCCCCCTCCGTATCTCTCTCGATTATCGCTGTCTGGCCTCGGTTTTCTTGGTTCCATCAAGAACTGTGCGTTCCCAATAGTACCCAAGGATGCAGTTCTTTACCTCTTTGCTGCTGATGGCAGCAACTGCTCAAGCGCACTGTTAGTCCCCCTATACCCTATCCTAAATCTCTAACTCAGCCAAGTTTAGATCGCTTTTCAAAGCTCGTCATTAATGGCCAACCCGAGGCTTCAGAGTGGATCACCGTCCGGCAGACTAAGAACTACCAGGGTAACCAGGGGGTTACAGACGTCAACAGCGCTGACATGCGTTGCTTCCAGAACCGCATTGGGTCGTCGACGGCTACTGTTGCTGCTGGTGACACCCTCGGTTTTGTTGCCATGGCGCAGATATCTCATTTTGGCCCCCTTCAGTTCTACATGGCCAAAGTTCCCGACTCGGCAGATATTAATACCTGGGAGCCCTCGGGGAGTGTTTGGTTTAAGGTAGCGAAGATAGATGCCGTCCCGTCTGCGAATGGAGGGGCGCTTACATCGGACGAGAAGACATGGCCAGCGTATAGTACGTCACCTCACTATTCCACGAGACCCTCTATCTTGTGAAAAACGCTGACTTCCCTCTCCTCATACAGAAAAGACCCAAGTCGACTTCCAAATTCCAAAGAATGTCCCAAGTGGCAAGTACCTCGTCCGCGTCGAAAGCATTGCCCTCCACCAAGCGTCGTCAGCTGGCGGAGCTCAGATCTACCTTTCCTGCGCCCAGGTCGAGGTTAAGGGTGGTGGAAATGGTCAGCCGGGTCCTTTAGTCGCGTTTCCGGGAGCGTACAAGTCAGGCGAGGCGGGACTCATTTGGAGCTACTATCCCGTGAAGACGAGTTATACGGCACCTGGTCCTCCAGTTTGGCAGGGGTAAGTGATATGAAATCGAATAGGAAAACAGAGTTTGTAATCCCATTTTCGCAAAGCGTGGAATCCGTAGGCATGCAGGTTTGCCTCCGTCCGTGTTGATATATACCTGGTACATTGATCGTGAATTACCTGTCCGGCTGCCGGGGCACCTAACTTGACCATATGGTGTACCACCTATACGAGATGCGTAGTGTTACAAGTCCACCAGATACAATCCAGGCTAAAACAACTATCTTTCACTTCGCCCTTTGACCGTCATCAACAGATTTCTCGCGAAAACCGCACAGTCACCCTGACTTTTCGCACAACGGATATACTTCGTATCGTCGAACTCCCACCTCGCGGGCAAGCAACACGAAAGCATCCTCTTACAGCTAGTTCACAGCATAACTAACGGCCATCATTACGTAGAACCCCTGAAGCGTCTTCTCTCCGCCGACAAACTCACGTCACATCTACTGTTTACTTTCTACCAACTTGTTTTTCCCTTCGAACAACTGCCTTCCACCTCTTCAGCTCCATAATCCATCCATTCCAATGTACGACAGAAACGTTATACTACTTTCTTTGTTCTTGAACTTGAGCATAGGGCCCTTCTCAAGCAGCAGCTTTAAAATTGCCTCGTTCCAGTTCTGTACAGCTTATAATGGCGGCAACTGACCATATTTTCCACCCTTAGATACTAGCTTAGCACCCTTCCCAGGTAGCAGCTTGACCACAGCTTCGAGCCCGCTCCCCGCAGTAATCCACAGCGTCATTTCACTCCAGCTGTCGCAAATGCTGCAGTCGTTAGAGTTTATGTCAACACCCTCATTAATCTGCGCCTCATGCCCGTTCTCTGCGGCTATCCACAGCGACGATCGTCTGTGAGAATCCTTACGTCACGATCATTCGAGTGTTAGCCTGAATATTAAATATCCCTAGCAGCAACATTCTATGTCCTCCCTCAGAAATTTGGCATTCGTCGGAGCGATGTCACAGGTAATACTGGGGTCCCACGTGATGATACATCATGTGCTGCTCTAGTCATTCATTAGGACTAGCGCATATTCGTACTATATTCACCATGCAGAAGGTCACCCAACCATGGTTGCGCCAAGGCTGACCATGGCTAGGCCAGATGTGGTTGGTGCTGCGGGATGCTCAAATCAGTTCGCGCACCCACACTGCTGCCACGATGGTTACCTCGCTGAAGAACTACGTGATATGATAGAAACACCTAATCTGCCATGAAAATTTTAAAATTACGTTTTACCCTTTGGGGAGGGATCCGATGGTTTGCCAAGGTCAGATCATGGTTAGGTGCAATGCCGACACCTCGGAGCTCTCTCTCGCTCCCGAGACTTTACATTATCGTTCAATTCGCCTAGTTTAGTTCTCGTCACCTAATGGAAATTTCGCTCCATTCTCTACCTGCTTTTGCGATCGACTGAAAAAAATGAACGCGCAAAACTACACGCAAGGCTACCGATTTGGGTTAGAAACGCCAACCTCAAAATGGACGTTCAGGGAGCCAGGACCATCATTGCCTTATATTGACGCAGAATTATTGAAGGAAAAAAATATAGAAGCTTGATTTTAATTTCAAGTAGACGCAAGGCTTGACCCAGCGTGCGAATCCGCCCGAGGGAAAAGTTCGTCAAACTATTGAGAGCGAAGAATCCGTTCTATGGACGACCATTCCAAACGCTAAGCGTCATGAGATCATGGAATCTTCTACTCTAGCCGTAGTGCCATCTGCGCGCAGGCCGAAGCGCCTTTAAGCTTAAATATTTGCCATGTTTAAGTCTCAGGGAAAGGAATGAACGTGCCGATAACGCAAGCACGGAGGGCGGCCGACCCGCTCCGACCATATCCTTTCCAGTCAAAACGATGGTATAGGATGGAGTGTTCTTTTCGCTGATCCCTGGCCCCCTCCATGAAATAGAGATAATAATAATAATATATGGAAGTAATCTGCCTCTATACGATCACTGTTAGTAAGTGTCAAGCTCAACTTTGCATATCCACACACTGCCAGTTCCGACACTGATCCCAATCGTCTTCCTTGACACCGCCGAGGATAACCGCGATAATCTGAGGGTAGTCACACAAGGTTCTCTGAATTATGTGTTACCCATACATTGTCTGAGCTTAAGCCTTAGCCTTGATATTGGGGAATATACCGTTGCGAAATAACTGATGGCATGACTAAACTTAATCGAGCAATAATACCAATGGCGCCGATGTCAGTGCGAAGGTAGAGGTCACTAACGTCAAATCAGAGGCAATGGAGTGCATTGCCAACCTCGAGCGTCTGGAGGCAGTCGCCGCTGCTCGTGTTGCAAATCTTGACCGTCCTGTCGAGTGACACCGACGCCAACCGACCCGAGTCGTAGGAGAAAGCCCCTGAGTTGGCTGAATCGTTGTGGCTCTCGAGTATCCGGAGGCAGTCGCTTGGTGCCGACGCCAGTCGGGCCGAGTCATGAAAGAAAGCCACTGACAAGGCCGAATCACTGTGGCCCTTGAGCGTCTGGAGGCCGTCGTCGCTGCTCACGTCCCAGACCTTGACCGTCCTGTCACCTGACAACGACGCTAGCTGAGCCGAGTCGTGGGAGAAGGCCGCCGGGTTGACCCAATCGCTGTGGATCTCAAGTGTCTGGAGGCAGGCACTCCATCCGTCACTCATAGCCGGCTTTATCGTAGCCCATGTTAGCTCCTCTTGCTTGAAAAACTGTCTGATTAGGCTATGTTCTGGGCTGAACAGAAGCGCAGACCTATATGCCCGTAACGGGCTACTCTCGATTGCCCTTTTGTGATGCATAATGAACCGACACTTGTCTTGGACAAGTTTGATTAATGTAGTTGCATCTGCACTTCTCTACACTCTGTTAGCGAGTGAGACACGTACCTACGTTGCTTGTATAAAACATGGCTGGACCAGCGCCCAGCGCTTCCAACCGTACGTACTACGGCTCAGAAAAGTGAATAGCTACGGTCACGTGAGCCGTACAAACGTAAGAGGACTGTCAATCATAACGTACAACTAAGAGAGGTCCCCTTACAGTCTGTAATATGTCTTAGAAAGTTAATTTTTCCTAGTAATATAGGACCTACTTAGACATCTATAGGCAAGCGTTAGAAGGGCGTTTAAGAGGGCATTTTTAAGTAACAATTAGTTAAAAACTCTGTTATATGCTACAAGCAAGAACGCGTTAGAGAGGGGGGGGGGGAGCTAGAGTATTAGATTTTATGCAAACAGTTAACTTTTTGCCTTTAATATTATCTTTAAGTTATAATATGCTATTCTCTCTTACTAGTAATTACTTATACAAAAGGCAGCAGAAAACCTTAGAGTTGTAGTAATATTATAACTCTTATTAAAAGGACTTTGCTATAGCTAAAAATAACAGCCCCTTGTTTACAGATTCTCTTGTATAGTAGATAAAAGTAAGATGTTTCTCCTACCCTACACTTTTTAAAATTGCCCTTAATTTCCTCTCTATCCTGTGTATGTCTTATAACTGCAAGAGAGCCTTCTCTAGTAGGAAAAGAACTTGCTACCTTAACAGAAACTGCCTTTCTAAAGAGATAATTAAGGCTTTTTAATTATAAAAAAACTAGCTTTACTAAAGAGTAATTTACTCTAAGCTTTTAGCTCTCTTAGATTATATTTATTCTAGCGTTATATTATAACTTCTGCTAAGTTATTAAGCTGTATAAAGATTCTTAATTATTATAGTTAAGACTTGTAAGTAGTCCTTATGTTAATTGTATAGTAGAAATGTACTAAGAAAGTTAGACGTAACGTCCTAGATTTGGTCGGGTTAAATCGTATTACGTACGGTTGGAAGCGCTGCCAGCGCCTCTAGTTTTGCCATGGACGCTGCAACCTTTGAGATGCTCTTGCAAAGGCTTGGAGCCTCTAGCCAGTGAATATACCGCTCCTTTAGAAAGTTGTAGACGACTTTGTTATCCGGGAAGCTTTTTTTTTTTTTTTTTTTTTTTTTTTTGGAGAACTGAGGCACAGTGGTGATCGACCCAGCGAACGCACAAGTATCAGATTCTCGCTAGCCGGTCATGAACCGGTACTTGAACCTTATCGATCGGAATTCCTGGAGCAACTAAACCCTACATGTCGCGTTTCAGCATATCAAACATTAGCTGGAGCGACCGAGAGAATAAGTCGTGGTGCATCTTGCCCTGAGATGGGAAGACCGTGGATGCCATCTCGTCGTTTAGGTAGTCTTTGGCCTATTGGTGTATAAGGTAGACCTGATCATCTCTAACGGTGAGGAAAGAACCACACATGGCTACGAGCTTTCTTACGTTCCCCGCTAGAACTGATATCTGGCCTGATATTCCGTACAAGCTGCCTATCTCAGCTAGGTAGAGTGGACGGTATGCGATGACTGCAGTGGAAAGCAGAAGCCTCTTTGTCAGCTGCTGGATTCGATCCATCATGCGACTGTACAGCTGATATAGGCTTATTAACGCTTCTTCCACCCATAGAGGGTCCTAGCTCTCTGACCTCTCGAGCTCCTGGATCATGAGGGCAACCCAGAGAAAAGTGCCGTTCCCCTTCCGTCGCAGTATGTCTCGCACTTGGTCTCTCAAACTGTCCTCTTCAAGCGAGTCAAGCAGGGACGGCTTTTAGTCGATGCATACACCCACGCCACGGGACACCTGCTCCGGTGCTCCGGGCTCTGCTTCAGGTTCAGGTTCAGTCTCATTTTACCATCAACGGATCCGAGCTTCAGCTCGATGTGGACTTCATTTTGACTCAATAAGAGCCACTTTATGCGAGCTGATGATGTTGAAGTATGGATGATCAAGTCTAAGAGCTTTCGTAAGGGCGTCGACAACCAGGTAGCTAGTATGAGGTCTAGATCCAGTACCATGTTTATAAAGATGTCTGACAGGGCGATTCAAGAATTGGTGTCTTCGAAAACGGACCCACCAACTTGATTCTACTTTTTTCTGCAGATGTGAGACCAAAGACGGCTGCTGTTGGTAAGCAGGTAGATCAGGCCACGCAACATGGCAGAGGCACTGCTAAGGCGCGAGTTTATGGGTACGTCGTGTAGACAAGCTGGCCTTCCCGGAAGCGAAACTATGGGAGGTAAGATTCAACTTGCAAAAGATAGGAAACCTGTTGGCTACTTTAGGCTCACTAATTGTCAGGTTCTTCTCAAGGAGAAGGAGCTGAGAGAAGGTACGTATTTTTCGGGCAAGAAAGCTGACTTACGGCAAATACTTGCAGTATAACTGGCACAGGGCAGTGAAACAATCGTAAGAAATCTCTCAATCGCCTTGCCGTCTGCTGGTGGGCATAAGGAGAGGTCTGAATTAATTGAGGACGAAATTCTCACCTCTGCAACGAAAATTGCAGCCTTGGAGGAAGCATTTGGGTCCGGAAAAGAAGAGCCCGACGAAGATGGCAGCAGTGGTTCTCTTAAGGCTTTGGCCGGATATTTGGCACCGTCTACTTCTTCCAGTCAAAGGACTTGCGAAAATAGGAAGTATACACCAGAGAAAGGGCAAGAATAGCTAGGAAACTTCGGCATTATTAGCTCTTCAATATTGTAGTGGGCATTTTGAAGGTGCTTGGTTTCAACGGCAGGTCCGATACTGATTTCGAACAACTTAAAAGGTCAATGTCTATACAGAGAGGATATAAATATAAAGGAAGAAGTCAAACCCACCACATAATATCAGTCTATCGAACTTTATATAGCTCATAATGTGGGAGAACATCTGGGTGGAGTGAAGGAAAGATTTCCACAATACAATCGTTGATCCAGACAAATGACCCTGTTCCCAATACAGACACATTTCCCAGACTGGAACCTGACGTCACCAGTTTCGAGAAGCTTGGGAAGGCGCTGCTTTGTCATAGCATTGTAAGCAAGGATCCGTCCACTCTCTTTCTAAGCTTTGAGGATTCTGGGAGCTTTATATGGCTGGATTAAGCTTCGGCACCAGTTGTTAGATTTAGTTTTGACATTAATGCAGAGTGTAGGACTTTGTACATGATGTTAATGGATTTAGTAGTGGAAGATATTGAGAGGGTTACAGGTACGCACATGACTAGCCTAGTCTTGAAGTTGTATGATTAGGAGGTAGGTAAAGTCAACAATCTTAGCTAGCCTTCCTTGAAACTCTTTAAACGCTCGTCTGTACACGTGAGGAGCAATAGGCAACTAGAGTCTTATCTTCGCAGCTATGTAAAATAGTTAGCATTTTAATTCAACTTAAAATGGTGCAATGTGTCGGAAAATCCTCTTAGCGCTGTATCAACGCCCTCAAGTCCCTCAATCAGATGCCTATCCTCAACTCCCTCCAGAAGGGGCATGCCAGGTAAGTTGGAAAGTAAATGCTCTCACATATTCGGGTAAATAAAAGCTGATTCAGTAGGGTAAAATCGCAGTCGTTCGAGGAATAAAGCTACAGTAAACTAGCTATAGAGAACCAGGTCCACATGGGGGCGTTCGGACTTGCACGCGGATCCGCCACGGATCCTACTGTCTAGCGTGAGTATTTTAGACACCATTTCCGTTAACCTTTGCGACTCTGCAACCAAAGCGCTTTCCGAGAAACTATGTAGTTTGTGCTTTGCTTTTACAAATTTCCCTATCGAGGGAATATACGCAAGGGCAGGGATAGTATGAACAGCGTGCCCAATAGGCCGTTCTACTGACAGTACTGAGTACGGTGTACAGTTGATTTAGACCGTACAAACGTACAGCAATCTTCTGTCAGTGCGTACAATAGCTGTTGCCCTAAGTACTGTCTGTAGTACAGTGTACAGTTAGCATTTTAGGATAGCTTGTAAGGCTTAATTTAGTGTTTTAAAGAGCCCTTACTAGAGAAGCTGCTATAGAGGGCTAATTAGTAGAAAATCTTATGTGCAACACTAATTTAGCTGCTTAGAGAAGACTTTATCTACTTATTTAAATAGTATAGCTTATTAAAATTAAAATAATGCTTATTACTAACTACTTTTTATTATAGAATTACTTATTTACGCGCCTTACAGCCTTACAGGCCTTATTAAGTTAATCTAGTGTTGCTGTTATACACCTTATAAAGTCTTAAAAGCTTAAAAAATTAAAAGTAATTTATAACACTTTTACTAGCTTATCTTATAAGGCTACACTACTTACTAGTAATAAGTAATTAAAGAAGTATCTAAAAAAGTGTAATTATAATACTAGCACTAAGTTTAAGATTAACTAGAGTAATATATAGCTATTAGATTTAAAAGAGGCTTTACTAGCTACATAATTAAGTTACTAAGTAAAAAATAAAAAAATAATAAAAAGTAACTATAAGGTCTTAAAAGTATAGCTTTATAAAGTAGATTTAATGCTATGTAAGAAGTAAAGTAAAGTTATACACCTCTAGCTTTACTATTAGTGCTATAAGTAACATTATAAAAGTGCTGTAAAAGTAGTTAATAGTTATAACTATATAGTAAAGTATTTATAAAAAAAAGTATAAAGTTAATATTAATAAAAAGCTTTTACTTAATAGCCTTTAAGCTTTTTAGCACTTATAGAAGGCAGCTAAAGTAGAAGTAGTAAGCTTATTACATAGGCTATCTTATACACCTTAGTAGGAAGGCCCTCTGCGCAGTGCCCTAGTAGATTAGGTTATAGTGCAGGATTAATTATTTAAAAACACTATTTTTATAAAAACTTAAAGCTTTATTAGCTAGAATTATATAAATCTTCTTACTACTTTTTTATAATTATACACTACGCTTTTTACTAATATTTAGAATGCATTTATGTAGTAGAAGTAGAAAATTTTAATAGTACTAAATTTAGCATTATTAAAAATTATATTAAGTATAGATGTATAAAGTAGTAGAAATTACTTTTTATTTTTTATAGTAGTAGCTTATTTTATTAGTAAGTATATATAAGCTACTATTACTACTTTTCTATAACACTAACTCTGCTAGATGCTTTACATAAATAATAAGATCTTCTTATTAAATTTAAAAACTTTTATAGTAACTATATTAAGAGTATGTAAGCCTTTAAAGTAGCTACTACTATTATTAAATATAATATTACATTAAAATTTAGTTACTTTATTAAAAATAATATATTAAATAATAATAATAAGCTTATCTAGAGCCTTAATAATTACCTAAATCTACTATATAAGCTTAATAAGTAGCACTAAATCTGCTACACTAGCTACACTATCTAAGTAGTTGTAAAGGCTATTATATATAGTAAAAGTGTTACTAAATTTAAGTAAAAGCTTACTAAAGCTACTCCCTATAATTAATTTAAGCTATATAGAAAGCATAGTGTTATTAAGCGTCTTTATAACCTTATAAATAGTGTTCTAGCCTTACATAAGCGCATAAAGCTTTTTAACACTATATAAAAAGACCTAGCTAAAAAGGACTTTATTTAAAAGTTTAGTACACTTAATCTTATATGTATTAGTAAAGTACACTAGCACTTAGTATATCTTATGCTTCTATGCTGCTTTAAGCTTAAAAAAGTAATTAGCTACTTTTAAAAGTAATAAAAAAGCTTTTTTAATGCTAAAAATAAGGCTTACTATGTTAGATTTAACACCTTATTAGATTTTATAACTAAAAATAATTAAAATAAAATTAAGCACTTTATAAGCTTTTTAAAGAAGTTTTATTAAATAATAAAAAAACTTAAGAGTAACAGCTTATTTAGCTTACTTTAGTAAATAATTATAAAGCTATAGTGCTTTTAAATCTACTTTAATTAAATAAGTAACATTTTTACTAATAAGCCTAGCTTTTTTTACTTTAAAAGTGCTATTTAGTTTAGCTATTAAAAGCTTATAACTTACTAAAGTAAGCTAATCCTTAAGCCTCTAGCCTTATATTATATAGTAGTAACTATACTTTATTTTTAGCTATAATTACTATAGTTTTAAACCTACTAGCGCTATTATAAGGCCTAGATTAATAAAGTAACTTAGTTAATAAAAATAATCTTTACATAGTATATAAATGCTAAAGATAAAAATAAAAATAAAAATAAAATTAAAGCTAAAGCTTTATCTTTAAAGTGTTATAAACTACTTAGTAGTAACTATTATAACATTAATTATAAAAACTACTTTACTGTTAACCTTTTTTTTATAATAAATAAGCGCTTATATAAGTGTAAGAGGCTATTAAATAAGCTATAATTTTACTATAACACTATACACTTTAATTTTTATAAAAATTACTTATTACTACATAAAGATTCTTTATAGTAGTAGCTTACTAGAAGTAAATTAAGCTATTTTATTTTTTATAAAATTACTTTTAATTTTCTTACTATCCTAGCTATAAGCTATAAGTGTAAGAGGTGTTTTAGTGCTACTAGCTGTACTATAACTAACAATTATAACAACCTATTAGGTGCAATAATTAAGGCTATACAGCTACAGAAGCACTAAATTAAACACTAAATAGTAAGAAGTAAGCTCCTAGCTCTAGCTGCTTACATTACTAAAGAAAATAGCCTTATAGAGAGCTATTAGGCCTTTAACTCTACCTCTTCTATAGTATAGCGTATTAATAGTTACAACGTACATTAATTATATAGTACTACCTGCACAGCTTATTTTAAACAGTGCGGTTACTGTCTGTACAGCTGCCTCTCCTCCTCACGACCGTACGTACGTACAGGCAATCTCGTCCGTACAGGCCTCAAAATCTCCTAATCGTACAGTAGTACGGACTGTTGGGCACGCTGAGTATGAACGCTGCTAAGATCGCAGGGAAAAGGCTGGGACTGCGAAGCGTCTTTGATTTTGCCGTCGTATGATCTGACATTACTTAAAATTACTTCAAGGTAGACGAATGTTCTTCCCTGCATAACTCAACGAAGTCCAACAAACAACATACAAATATGTTCGTATAGTTTACCTAACTCATGCTAACCAAATTTAAGACGTTTGAATACTCGCATGATCAACCGGCGCCTCCAGTATCATACGCGAAGCTATGAAATCAGGATCCGGGCAATCTTCCTCTTCATCCTCTTCATCGCTCGTTGCAAACTCTAAATCAACGTAATGAAAAATCCAAAATGAGCAGAAGAGAAACGCCGCACTCGATATAGCAGAAATTGTCAGATACATAACGGCTATCTACATCGATGAGGTCAGCTGGCAAGCCTTATAAATTTGAATAATTAACGAACATACATTACACCCAGAGTTCCACTCATCTCTTCGTATCAATGGCGTGCAGACAAGTATTGTCAGACCCGCAAGAAATGCAGTGACAGAGTACGACATGAGCATCATGGGGCACTGCCAGATAAATACCATCTTCTTCCTCGGCTGTACACTCTTCTTTGATTGAGACTCTACTTGGAAGATCTGCTTACTGGCTTTCGAAAGCAGCAGTGGAGAGTACCTCTGGATCGCAGCGTCGGCTTGATCCGGTTTGGTGACTCTGGGCAAAGGCCCGAGAGCATAAAGTATTGCGATTTGCTGAGCTGCGAGGAGAATCCCGAGAATGGAAAGAACGAGGCTACCGTGCCATAATGCATGGGCAAGCCAGTATGCATCGACGACGGTATTCCAGGAGAATGCGCCGATGACCGCAGCAGCTACGATGGCGCACTTTGCAGGAAGAATTTAACATCAGTTTAGGTTCGTGGTATAGAAGGGCGAGAGGGGGTGTGGTCGAAGTATTTGTACTTCAAACTTACTGCAATGGATATAAACTGCAGCTCTGTAAGCTTTCGCGCTCTCCAGCGTGATATTTCCTTTAACACTTTTCGAGAGTTTAATGGTTGGCAGGCGAGAGTAGAGATTTTCTTCAAAGGTTCAATAGTGTTATGCCGATAAAAGCGGTAGTATGGCAGAGTGCCGACCCATATAGCCATATCAGTGGCTACGAGTAGTATGCGCTATATGAATGTGGTAAAATTGTGAGCCAATGTACAACATGAAAAAGGACAAGAGCCTTTTTGAGGGAGCCCCATTTGGCGGACGATAAGAATCTTCAGGGAAGCTAGAGTAAAGAGAAAGGTGGATTACGCTGAAAATATCCCATATTACCTTGGATATTCTTACGATAAGGCTCCACGCCATGACAAGGCTGAAGAATGCACGCGTCGTAGGACTGTCAGCGAGTGCTATCCTGAAAGACGCCGTTTCTGGGGAGAGGCACTAGTAGCTGAAGTCACCACCTAATTTCCATAGTCAGAAATGGCAGGGCTAATGTAGAAGGCTAAGATAGAAGTGTGATGTGAGCAACGATGGACGTGGACGAGTTAAGCGAGTCTACGCGAATGGGGAACTCTTGTGATTGGTTCTTGGCAAAACGGCTCAGCCTCACTGCAATCGTCATAGATTGCTGTTGTGTACAATTGACATAATCCCAAAAGGACAGAGTTCGTACTCGATTACAGCCGGCAAGGCTGCCGAAATTGGTTGCCCTAAGCTTTGAATTCAATTCGTACTTTCTAGCTCGTGTAATGCTCACTACAGATACATATTCACATCTGATAAATGACCCCGGTGTAATAGTTTCAGTCTTCAACTATTTCCTTAAAAAATGGCATATAATTACTAGAGAGAATTTTGCGCGACTTCCATTTCACCAGAGCATAATAAAACGTTAAGTGCCGACAACGCCGCCTTACCAATGCAATGGGTGAACTTCCCGGCCTCTGCACGGTAACGCTTAAAGACCCACCACAAAGAGAAGAACCACTTCGTCAGGGCGGGGGCCTTATCTGGTATTTCCATGTCTTTGTCATCCGTCGAATCACCACGTCGATATCCTCCCTTGATTCCGGATGCTCGGTCCACAGATGTCTCCTGAAAGCTTCCCTGTCGTAGTGTGGAGTGTTTCCGCATGCACTGTAGCCACAGACAAACCTTGCACCAGTGGCATAACGTTCCCATCGGGAAGAATCCTCCATACGTATTCGTCTCCGCCGTACCAGCTCCTTTGCACATCTCGTGAAGGCTTCGGAATTTTCAGACTTTTGACACCATTTGTTGAATGCATGCTTCATATCCGCAAGGGTTTTATGACCGGGTCGCGAGGTAAAAGCACCGTTGGGTTTCCATTCGTCAAGATCGATGTTTATCCCTTTTTCATCGTTAAGCCGAAAGGAATGATCCAATCTAGCGTCGTCGATGTACCCTTCAACAATTCCCGGATCTGTTGCCGTGTTCGCAAGTTTTCGGATTCTTTTACGAATTGATCGTCCTCCAGGGTCCTCTTTGGCTCTCGCGGTCCCAACGCTCACGACGACGCCAATGTTACTCTCTCCGTGAAGTGACTTAATTTCCGAAAGACCTTCTTGGGTAGGATTGTTGGTGTGACCAAAGCCTCCATCTGTGAAAAAGATTTTGGTGGAGCCAGTGGATGTCCTGCGTTTGAACTTAATTTCTTCAAAGTACATTGGGGCAGCTGTAGCTGCTCGAGCAACCTCCCAAATCTCTAACGGATCGGCAGGCCCGAAATTTGTTTTTGCGGCTTTTGTGGACAGGGTAGTAGTACGGTTGCGTTGAAAAATATGCGGATCAGATTTTTCATGGTCGTACGATCGAATTAGATACTTCTTCTCTTCGGAACCTTTGGAACCTTTGCGTCGTTCCCTTTTCTTGGTGGTGACGAATCTAATTACATATCCACGTTAGCGGCCAACACCAAAAATCACAAGGTCTGCATTTGAATAGAAAGCTAAAATGAGTTTGGGATGTTGCGTGGCAGGAAAAACATACTCACGTGTTGCAGAGCCCTGGCATTGAAGGAAACGTCACTTCCTTGATCCGTTGGTCGACGTGCTCGCAACGCCTTGCCGTCACATCTTTGAATACCTCTTCCAGGGCTGAGGCACTATATTTTGGCCGCGATATAATCCCAGTATTAGGTTGCGACACTAGACGTGGCTTGCCGAAAATCTTGTTGCCCATTTCCTTGTACTCATATAAGCAGTCCTGGACAGTCATTCGAAATCTACCGAGCATAATCGCAATGAGTCTGTAAGATGTTAGCTAGAATAAGAACACGGGAAAGTTCGACGACTTACCCGCCAGTGCTTGATCCGCAGATGTAGTCAAAATAATGGCAAGGTAGAAACTTCCGACTCGTGCGAAGCGCATGAGTCCGACGCCTATGCTCTGCACCTGGTCTGTTGAGTGCGTCACTTTCTTTGCTTGATAAAGGACCAGTAACGTGTTCTGGGAAGGGGCAAGGATGAAAGCTATGATATTCATCGGAATCACCTTCCGTCTGTTGTTGTTCCTCATGAGCAATACAGTCCATGAGCCTCTTCAGCACAAGAAGAGTCCAATAGCCACGGATCCCACCACCATCTGTAAAATGATATGAGTTTCGTCTCTGAAAAGAACCAGGACTAGTTATGCTCACCTAGACTTAGCAGATTCTGCTGATTCCACACTTCCACAACACTGAGTCCGGGAGTAGACGAGCTGCCACCTTGTGAAATGCCGTCGGGTAACTCCATCCACTCAGCTTTACCTTTCCCCTTTGAGCTCTCTGGTGCGATAGAAGGCCCTGGCCCGTCTTCCGAAGCCATATGGAGATAAATAGAGTGAATTTAGTCGAAGAATGAGCCAAATGTTAGTTAGAGCCTGACCGAATATTCCGCTTTTTAAGTAGCTCGCTCCAACCACGGTGCACTAACGGGGTTCGCGCCAATTCATAGCCACAGCAGGCTCGGAGGAGAGAGGAGCCACAGTCCCGCGTACCGAGTCGCTGAACGTCGAATTTGAACAAAGTCCCAGCCTTGCATTATGAACAAAGCGCCTCAAAATGCGAGTACCAGTGGCGCTTCATTCCCTGCAGATAGTGGTGTCTTACGGAAAATCCTGAAGGGTGGCTGTGCGCTATTCTCTCGCCCTCGAGTCCGAAAATGCAAGACAGCTCGCTAACCCCGGTTGACCCAGGGCGGTTAATGGTAGGCGGATGGATTCGGGACGCTCTTCCAATTGCAATGCCTTAAAAAGGATCGGCTGACACATGTGCTTCCCCTTGAATGAAAGGCACTCTCTATGGTAAATCTCAAGCCACGTGGGGCGATGAACTGTTCCGGTGAATACTCCAGCGTCCAGTATGAAAGCAGTCTGTACCCTTCAAGCTGAATACAGACAACCAGCATTTGGTCACTTCATGCTACATCTTACAAACCTTACCCCTCGTCCTTACTTACGCTTCCTCCGAAACAACTTCCCTTACACTGTTCCGTAATAAGGCACATTAACACATGGAATCGCCCGAGCTTGCCCAAGAGCCATTGAAGCATCAGCGACTCGAAAAGAGTCGTAAAACTCGGAGTTGGGATCGCGTGGTTGTATATGACCCCGAAAGTGGAAATGTGAATATCTGCAAAGAACGAGACTTGAGGGGTGGTAAGTCAGCACGTGCCTAAAGCCCCCATGTGCCAGCTAACCCAGACAACAGACAAACAGCACGCGCAACTCGAAATCCCAAAAGGGCGGAAAGAGGTCTGCCTTTTTGTGGACGAGGCTGAGAAGTTGAAAACCGTGACGGAGAGGCCAGAGAGCAAGGATATTTTCCTTGCGAGACTGACGCTGTTGTCGTGTGCGAAATTTGCTGGATTCTTGGCAATGCCAAGTAACCACTTTTCCCTCACAAATCTCATTAAGATTCAGGTAACTGCACATATCGCTCTATACACTCCACTGAATGGGAGAAGGACGTTGTATAGTAAGTAAGGCTTTTTAATAGACCCTATTAGCCTTATCTTACTAATTTTTAGAGTAGTTACTGCTAATTATACCCTTGTCAGATTTGCGCACCTACTGTCAAGACAGGAGGAACGCTTGACGAAAGCTGCTACATAGTACGAGCAATAAGCTCGAACAGTATGTTGCTGTAAATTGCAGCATTTTGCAGCATGTTGCAGCAAATTGCAGCATTTTGCAGCATGTTGCAGCAGTTTGCAGCAAATTGCAGAAAATTGCAGCATTTTGCAAGCTGGTCGCGCATAGGGCAAGTGCGCGAGGGACTCGGATCGGCAAAACAAAAAGCCGAGCAACACGAGTAGAGCAGAAAAAGGATCGAAAAATCAACACAATCAATACAATCAATCAATCAATCCCATACATCATATCCAAACCCATCATTCATCTCAGGAAGCCCAGAAACAGTGCTTCAATCTGACAACCCTAAATTACTTATCTCTGTTGTTAATGTAAATAGATAGCTAGAAATGCTCCTACTACTTATTAATTAACCTATAATAAATAAGGGAGTAACAACTATAGTATTACTGCCTTTAAAAAGCGCACTGCAAGTACTCTAGCACCAGCTCCACGCAGTAGGAGCGCTGCGCGCGGTGGGGGGGCTAGTAGAGTCGCTCAAGGTAGCGTACGCGCTGCTTTAACTCTAGCTCCTCCTAGAGCACCTGCTAAAGCTCCTAATAAACACCCTGCGTTGCTAAATCTGTTTATTGTAAAAAAAAGAGCTCCTGCAGGTAGTTTAAAGGCTTAATTAAAGGACACAGAGGTGTAAGCTGCGCACTACTAAAAGCTTATTAAATTACGTAGGTTACTGCATAAAAAAAGTGTTGCTAGTAAAGATTATAACAATAATAAGAAAAAAAAGCTTAAGGAGCTAGCATATAACAAGTAGACGCCTCTAGTTATTTGTTGTTATAACACCTCTACTATAGGACCTGCTATAACGCGCAGTTACAATAGTTAGATTCTATTAAAGAAAATGCAGCAAGTTAAAGTTATAAAAAAGGACTTATAATAAAAATTAAAGTGCTGTGTAAAGGAGACACTAGATACCTTTAACACTATAAAGTTTATAAAAAAAAAGGCAGTTAATGCCTACATTAATTATAATTTTACATTTAACTATATTATCTAGCCCTTTATATAAGTTTAGGTTAATAAGGCTACTGTTCTTACTTATTTAAAGAGTAATAATTATTAAACAACCTTTATAAAGGTCTAGGAGCAGATTAAAGAGATAGTAGTTAACACAGTTCTTAAAAAATGCAGCGCTAAGGACATTAAGTTTATAAGCTATAAGGTTATAGTTAGATCTGTTAATAAAAGGGCTAAAAACTACCTCTATACAATTACTAACTTTAGATCTGCCTATATAAAGAAGGTAATTAGTATTACTAATAAAAAGTACTTTAACTTTTTAAAAAACACAGTCTAACTTACCTTTAAAGTAAAAACTAGATATAAGGCCCTTACTAAACTTAGGTAGCTATAACAAATAAAGAAGAAGGGTAAAACTCTTAGTATAACAGCTAAGGTTGTTGCTGCTTTTAATAGTTCCCTAGCACTAGCTGCTCTAGTAGATGACAGCTAAAGGTCGCGCAGTACAGCGCTGCGCGACGTGAATTTAATCTAGTAACTCTAAGGTTACTAAACACGCAGCAAGTTTATAAACACCCTTATCTAAACATAGAAGTGCTAGAATCCTAGCTGCCTAAACATTAGTAACTTTTGCTATTATAACATAGCAGAATAGCTAGGCTTTTACTTTAAAATAAAGTAAACTAACCTTAATGTTTAAGCCTCTGCTTTAGAGAGAAGCAACGCTAGTGTTTTAGTTACAGCGCTTTTAGAGCAGCAGAAGAACTATCTGTACAGTAAAGGCGCAATTAATTAAGAGGGCTTAACACCTAGTTGTTAAACACTAGCCTAGCGTTACAGTGCGCAGGCAAACTCTATAGCTAATTATATAAAGAAAGCGTAGAAGATGTATTAAAATATTATAATAAAAAATAAGCTTAAGCGTATGCAGAAGAAGATTAAGAATAGAGAGCAGCACTACAATAAGAAGGAGGAGAGAGAGCAGTGTTGTTATAAAGAGCTTAAGGAACTAGAGTTTAGTAGGAAACTAGCTGCAGATTAGCGCCAGCCTCACCTATACCTAAATTCTTATTATAACTAGGTATCTAGCTATCTGTCTCCTCTCACTCCTCTTGCTCTACTAGCTCCACCAGCTCCTGCAGCTCCTGCAGCTCCAACTCCAGCTCCAGCTCTCGCCAACCTTCCCCCGCTGTACAATCCTCTGCCCAGCGCCTTTTAAGCAAACGTTGCTGTGAACTAATTGCCCACCTAAGCCTTAAGCCCTATAGATCTGTTGCAGGACAAATATAATTTAGTAGAAGAGTTCTTTAATTAGATAATTAAGTAGCAAAAAACTAAAGCTTAAAGGCTAGAGTTTAAGTGTGTAAAAAAGACTGCAACTGCTAACTTCTAAAGTTTAAATAACTTTAAAGGCATAAAGAATTTAGCATCTAAACTGTACAAACTAGCAACAGCAGACTATTATCTACTAGATAGAATTACGCGTAGTTTTAGGCGCTATTTAGGTAGGTTTAAACTAGAGCACTGTTAAAAGAAGGCTGCGCTAGCAGCAGAAGCTCTAGTTAACCTGCAGATTAGTAAAAAGAGATTTATAAAAGGTGACATTAATTAGTTTAGACGCTAGGTCCTAGATTTGTACAGCAGATAGTATAGAACAATAGAGCAGCTTGTTGCAGGCCTGCTGTATAATAATACTTTATGTTACTATATAATCTAGATTACTACTGCAGCTGCTACCTGTTAACTTTACCCTTCTTGTACACCCTTATCTAGGCATTTACTTTATTAAATACTTTATCCTTAATGTATAGTTCTTCTCTACTAGTGTGCTAGAAGTGCTTAGTAGCAAATTAATTATAGTAACTTTTACTAATAGCAAATCTTAGAAAGTCTCTAAACGCGTTAAACTTATATTAGTAATAGTAGTAGTAGCGCTAAACTTAGGCCTTTAGCACTAAGAAAGTTAGCTTAATTAGATTATAGTTAGGCAAGTATAGCAGCAGGAACTGTACTGTATAGCCTCCTCTTTAAATCGCGTTAGGTATCCTTTTGTTATAGTAAGCAAAGCAGTTATCTAAAATAATACACATTATGTGTCTCTTAAACTAATAATTAATAGCTAGCAGAAGCTAGTTTTTTATCTAATTAAGAAGACTTTCTGTATTAAAATAGCCCTGCCAAAACGCTGTACAATTAAGGTATCCATAACAGAGGGAGTAAGCTGGTAGAATTAACCATGCTTGCCCACAATCTCTATCCCTAGCGTATTAATTATTGTCACTAATTAGACTGTACGCGCAGCGCCTTTAGCCTGTTATTTTATTAAAATTTAACTTGTTAATAAAGACTAACTAATCTACTATATAGTTTATTATAATACAACAATAGTTATTATAAAGGTCCTTACTGCGCTTAACTAACAGCAGTTTAATAGCCTTTTTGTTCTAGCCCTCCTTCTTTAGCATCTTAGAGATATTTAATTAATTAATAAGCACCCTACGCTCTGCGTACAACCACCACTTCATCTCATCCTAGTACATCCAGCCATGCGCGACAAGCTTATTAAATAAAGCCTCCCAGTCTGCTAAGGTGAGCCTAGGAGGACGCCCTAATCAACGCGTTCTTAGGTGCGTAATTGTACCATATTTTATAAGGCATTAATAGATGTCGTACACAGTAGAGCGGCTCACGCGCGAACAGATAATAACCTCTAGGATAAAGATGCTAAGCATAAGAAGATAATATGTAATAGAACAATAATTAGCAGTCTTCTAGCTGTGTTTTAAGTAGGACAAGGCTAGTAGCAAGGCCTCTAGATTAAGAATGCGCGCTTCTATAAGACGCGTCCCCTAAGGGGCCCACAAGAGGACTGCAGCCAGATCTATAATCTATTACTCTGCAAAATTTGTAAGATAGGCCTTATTTATACATTTAAAAAGCTTCACTTACAATAAAACGCGTTGTGGTTGATTATATAGGGCGATACAGTCATTCCAAAAAGTCTGTCCCATGGCCTGAGCGCTCGGCTGTGGTCCCCTAGACCTTGAAAAAATTTCCCCCACCTAATTTAGTAGTACAATTGTTTACCTGCTGTCTCTCTATCCACAAACTATGCCTGCTTAATTTAGTGAGGCTATTGTTGCTTGTATACAAACCTGTCTTAATATTAAGATGTTAGTTCCTTAAATTGCAAGGGACCTAAGCATATCTTATAAGCCTGTTTACAGGATCTGTACTAGCTTAGATCTATAGGGCTGCCTGTATCCCCTGTCAACACTAAGACAGGGAAGACCTAGGGTAATACGTAAAGGCTAGCTCTAGGTGGGTAGCAACTATCTTAGTCTTTCTCTTAGTGTTATGCTAATGCTTTTATAGGGCCTACTTACCTTTCTTAAGGATTACTCTACTACTTATTTTAACAAAATGTAAGACTTCCTACTTAATAAGTATAATATAAAGGCGTTAGCTAGTACAATATATAATTAGCTATTAAACATGTAATAGTCTAGAAAGGTTGTTTACTGTTGTTTCTTAAAGCACAGTTTAAAGCTAAGAAATACCTAGCGTCTCTATTAGCAAGGCTAGCATATAGACTAAATTATATGCCTTAATAAATCTAGATATAACTCTTGTACTAGAGATAAGAGATGTAGGTAGAGTCTTGTTAGTAAAGACTATAAAGTTTATAGCTTAATTATCTGCTTATAAAGATAAAGTCTTCTCCTAGCCTGTACTATAGATAGTTATATAACCTATATAATGTTTTAAAGTAGTAGCATATTATAAATTTTTAAAAATTTTTTTAAGCATTAAGTGCTACCTTTCTGTAGCCTGTACCTAGGGTTAAGGTTAGTTATAGTACTTAATAACACAAGTATCTATTAATTAGACTATGTAAGGGACATCTGCAACAGAGCTAGTGTAATACTAGCGTTTTTACCTCTATATTTACCTAAATTTAACCTAATTAAGTTGTCTTTTACTGTATTAAAATTATAGCTTAAAAGGAACTATTAGTTAGTAGATAACTTTAACAACTATAAAGACTTTTTTAAGCATGCTATATAGCAGTGTTGCTACTAGGAATTTAAAGCAATATTTAAAGCTGCTAGATATAGAGAATAAATAGTCTATATAATTGTTACAGTATCCTCCCTAGATCCTAGACATAACTATATTAGACGCGTACTAGAGTATTATTAGTGCACGTCTAACACAAACATAACACAACATAGACATAAACTTAAGCATAAACTACCTTAACACTAACTAAACCTAGAATAGGCTTAATTTATACCTAAAGCGCTTAAACTTTTAAGCTAAGTATTTAATTACTAATTTCTTTCTAAACCTTTCTATTTCTTACACAACATCTTATACTTACTATAATACTTTACATAGTAATTAAACTAGACCTCTATAAAGCTCTATAACCTTACTTATACATAATTATAATATTATGTTATGTTAAAACTTTAGCTAAGAATAGCCTTTAAATCTAATCTAATAAGCTTAGTACTTACATAACTCTAAGCTATTAAAGTAAGCTAAAAAGCTTTTTAAAAAGTGCTTACTTTATAAAAAAGCTGCTATGTTATAAGCTTAAAAGCTTTTTAAAAGGACTTTAAAAAACAGCTTTATATTATTAAGCAGTTTATTTTTACCTTAACTTTTATTATAGTAGTAGGAACTAAGAACTTACTAGCCTTAAAGCTTACCTAGAAGTTTAGAGATAGCTTAACTCTTTTCTGTCTAACGCTGCCTACAACCTATAACTTTTTTAACTTAGTAATAAAATCTAACTAACTCTCTAATCCCCTGCTATTTAATAGAAAATAAAAAAACTTACTGTTACAATTATGCACGAGTAAGGTTATAGAGCTTCACAGAGGTCTAGTTTCATTACTATGTAAGGTATTATAGTAGGTACAAGACGTTGTGTAAGGAATAGAAAAGTTTAGAAAGAAATTAGTAATTAAATACTTAGCTTAAAAGTCTAAGCGCTTTAGGTATAAATTAAGCTTATTTTAGGTTTAGTTAGTGTTAAAGTAGTTTATACTTAAGTTTATGTCTATGTTATGTTATATTTATGTTAGACGTGCACTAATAATACTTTAGTACATGTCTAATACAGTTATGTCTAGGATCTAGAGAGGATACTATAACAGTACCCCCCCCCTTATTAAAAAGGGAATCCTTTACATTAGTAGTTCTAGCATTAGGTTGTCTTTATTAGGGTATAGGTTTAGTTTAGATAGGTATTAAGCATAGAATTAGGTTACTATAAAGTTCTCTTACAGAGCTTCTGTAGGTTTTTATAACAGTTTGTTGTATCTAGTCTATTTTATAAAGTATTTATAGATATGTTTTTTCTTATTAAACTAGATCTATTTAATGTCTTTTATAACATATTTTAGTTTGTTATTTATAATAACAGGTTTAGGTAGTAAGTTTAGCTGTCTAGGTAGATAGTTAAATTTAGAGGCTACTTAGCGCAGTAATAAAATGTGGAACACAGGGTGTATCTTTATGCTGTTAGGTAGGATTAATTAGTAAGCATGTAATAAAACTATATAAGCTATTATAAAGGGGCTAAAGTTCTTCTAATTAAGTTTCTTTAATAATTAGTTTATTTAGATATTTCTAGTGTCTAGCTAGACCTTCTTGCTAGCTGCATACATAAGGGCAGAGGTTTAGAATTAGTTTATATACTTTTATTAAAAAGCTTAAGCTAATGTAAGCTTTTTATAAACATATTTAGATATATTTTAGATTTTATTAATAAGTCTATTTACATTTATTACTTATACAGATTAATAAGTTAGTTAGGGGGTATTTAAAAGTAGTTTAAATCTTATTTAAGAGTAGTATCTATAGTTTACTAAGAACAGGGATACTTGTGTTAATTTAAATGTTATGTTATTAGCTTTAAACTATGCTGTAGCTAACTATTTTACCTAGTTGTCCTACTAGTAGTTTGTGTACACTTATAAAACTTATTTTATTACAGTGTTTATGTTCTTAGTTTAGCTATTAGTCTTTAAGTAAAAAGCTATAGATAGATAGAAGACAATTTAGAGCTATTTATAAAGTTTGTTTTAGAAGGCTAAGACAAACTGCGTACCTCTGTCTAATATAATTATGTTAGGCAGGCTATAGTAAACTTATATGTATTAGTAGAATAACTAGGCTATATTAGGGGCAGTTATAAAGGAACATAGTATTAAGTATTAATACTTAGTTAAGTAATTAACAACTACTATAATATTTATATACTTTTTAGATAGAAGTAGGTTTATAATAAAATTAATTAATATATCTTTCTAAGCTTATTCAAAGATTAAAAGTAGTTTAAGTAAGCTATTATACTTTTTTTAAAAGGCCTTTACTTTATAGTAAGTATAGCAACATAATACGTATTAGTGTACAGTATAGAACATGCAGGGCTAGTAGTACTCTCTCTGTAGTAGGTTAAGAGTCTTTTCTCTGCCTAAGTGTCTTTTAACAAGTAAGTTATGTATAATTTAAAGTAGTTTAATTCTTAGTTTATTAGAATTAAAGATTATAAGTTAGTTATAGTAATATAGCTTACTATTTTAGTTTTTATAGTTAGCTAGTGTTACCTTTTTTAACTAACTAGTGCTGTTTTAGAGTAAGTCTAAAGTTTTTTAAATAAATTTATTATTTAAATACTTATTAGTAATAATTTAATTAATTATCTAATCTATTTTGTTTAAGTTAAGGTTTAAAAATAGCTTAGGTTAAAGTAAAGTTTAGTGTTAAGCCTTTTACACTTCTTTTTAAGCAGGGATGTTTTAGGATTGCCTTATAAAGGCATCTAGTTTCCCTTTATTTTAACTAAGATAATAAGTAATTTTAAAATTAAAATAAAATAGGTAATATAGTCCACAAGCGAATGTTTAACACAAGCGAGTGTTCCGCCCTGTCACGATTGTGCACGAGTAAGGTTATAGAGCTTCACAGAGGTCTAGTTTAATTACTACGTGAGGTATCATGGTAGGTATAAGACGTTGTGTGAGGAACAGGAAGGTTTAGAAGGAAATTAGCAATTAAATACTTAGCTTAAAAGTCTAAGCGCTTTAGGTATAAATTAAGCCTGTTCTAGGTTTAGTTAGTGTTAAGGCAGTTTATGCTTAAGTTTATGTCTGTGTTGTGTTTATGTTAGACGTGCACTAATAATACTCTAGTACACGTCTAATACAGTTATGTCTGGGATCTAGAGAGGATACTATAACAGTACCCCCCCCCTTATTAGGAAGGGAATCCTTTACATTAGTAGTTCTAGCATTAGGTTGTCTTTATTAGGGTACAGGTTTAGTTTAGATAGGTATTAGGCGTAGAATTAGGTTACTGTAGAGTTCTTTTGCAGGGCTTCTATAGGTTTCTATAACAGTTTGTTGTATCTAGTTTATTTTATAAGGTATTTATAGATATGTTTTTTTTTGTTAAACTAGATCTGTTTAATGTCTTCTATAACATATTCTAGTTTGTTGTTTATAATAACAGGTTTAGGTGGCAGGTTTAGCTGTTTAGGTAGATAGTTAGATTTAAGAGCTACTTAGCGCAGCAACAATACGTGGAACACAGGGTGTATCTTTATGCTGTTAGGTAGGATTAATTAGTAAGTGTGCAATAAGACTATATAGGCTACTGTAAAGAGGCTAAGGTTCTTTTAATTAAGTTTTTTTAATTATTAGTTTATTTAAATATTTTTAGCGTCTAGCTAGACCTTCTTGCCAGCTGCATACGCAGGGGTGGGGGTTTAAGATTAGTTCACGTACTCTTGTTAAAAAGCTTAAGCCTATGTAAGCTTTTTATAAATGTATTTAGATATATTTTAGATCTTGTTAATAAGTCTATTTATGTCTGTTACTTATATAGATTAATAAGTTAGTTAGGGGGTATTTATAGGTAGTTTAAATCTTATTTAGGGGTAGTATCTATAGTTTGCTAAAAACAGGGAT